ATTGTCACCTTCCTTGAGCCACAAAGTTCTAGATTTTTGCCTCCACGAGATCTCCTCCATGACAACAATCTCAGTAAACTCCGCCTGACACTCCACCCTCCTAAGGTTTCAAGGAATCCGTCAAAAACCCCTGACCCTCCAATCTATCAATATCTGTAATCTCAGAGAAAACCCAATTCTTCCTCCAAACCAGATTTCCAAAGACCTCCTTGTTCCAAACTTTCAGATCATTCTTCAAAAAACGCAGCTTACCTGTAAGGGAATGCCTTGGGGAACCAACCACTCCATACCCCACCCACCAGGATCGGACTCGCTCCAGAAAACCCTCAGCCCTCAGCCATATATTCTCAAATCTAAATGGGGATCTTCGACTACGCAACCCACCACAATCCAACATTAATGGAACATGGTCAGATAATGGACGAGCCAAAGTGGCCTGAACAACATCTGAAAAATGTTCCTCCCAATCACTCGACACTAGGAATCTGTCAAGTCAAGAGAGAGTAGGAGAAGAGCGACCACTGGACCAAGTAAAGGGCCCACCAACCAAAGGCAAATCAATCAACCTAAATACATCAATGAACTCCGAAAAAGACTTCATCTCAGCCGTCTACCTGCCCCCTGAAGACCTCTCAAAAGGAGATCGCACAACATTGAAATCCCTTCCGATACACCAGGGCAACGACCATCTCCTACGGACCTCACCCAGCTCTTCCCAAAGCAAATGACGAACACTATCCTCTGTAGGACCATAAATACAAGAAAAAACCCACCGAAAATCATCCTCCCTCACAAAGAAGATACATGAAGCAGAGAAAATCACCTGAGACTCCAACATAAAAACCCACTGGTTATCCCACATAACAAGAACACCACCTGAAGCAAACCTCCCCCCCCCCCCAACCCACATGCTACACACAATCAAATCCGTCGTCTCCGTAATTTTTGTTTCTTGAAGACACACAATATGCCCACCCCCTTTCCGAATCACTGACTTCACCACTTTTCTTCGAACCGGGTCATTGAGACCTCGGACATTCCAAGAAAGAAGTTGTAGGTTCATAAGGAAATAATTGGGTTAACATTCTCTCCCCTCTCTCCACAATCCCTCTCCCTAGATCCCTTATTTCTCCTTTCATAAGTGACGAGAGTCGTTAGGCTCAAGAGCCCCCTCTCATCCACCCCCATTGGAAAACCTCCTCTACTCCCCCTACACCCTATTCTCTCCATGTGCTGAGAATTAAGAACTTCAAGAAACAAATTTGTCGCCTCCTCCATACGACCGTCGAAAGAGACTCCCAACCGAGTGCCCACCTCTACCATCTTCCACATCAACCACTCCTGTAGCAAAACCATCCCCATCCGTCCCCTCCTCATCAGGTCTAACAACAGCTAAAGGAGTAACAAAATCAAAATCAGTCACTCCCCCATTCCATTGAACCAACCCTAATTCCTCAAGGAGAGAAGAACACAACCCATCCTCTCCCTCCTCGGGAACAGACGAACATTGTGAGCTGCAAGCAAGAGGAGTTCCACAAACCTCTGCAGCCACATGATCACTCGACTCACTTTGAAGGCCTTTCAAGACAAAATGAGACCGCAAATCACTCAACAACACAGCAGCAGTAACATCATCCAGACAAATCTTCACATCCCTGCACACACACACTGTGGCGCCCTCCCCTTTCTGAACAACAGATCTTGAGGGTCCCAACCCATCAACCAGAGAACCCCCACCCATCACCTTCAGTCCGCTCTCCAACTCATTCTCTAAAACCGCGGCCAAGTTTCTGGAAGTCGAGCCCTTCAACGACTCTACAGAAGAGAGAGAAGGGGAAACAAAAGAGGTAAAAGACGGCGAAACGCAATGCAAAGAAACATTCTTACCCGAATCAAAGGCAACACGAGGAACCCATTTTTGTTTCTCCTTACGAGCCCACCTTCTACGAATGGCAGGGAGAATGATTCGCTTCTTTGATCGCAGATGGTGTCCCTGTGCAGGCAACAAAACTCGTCATCCCTCTTTGAGAGGTGGTGCACTAGGCAACTGAGATGGATCAACCAAAGAGAGCGGAGTAAACCGGTTGTTCACCACATGATCAGAACAAGACGGCCCAGAAACAACCGGCTCGGAGCCTGGCCCAGTCAAAAATCTGCAGCCCAGCTCCGCAGAAGAAGCTTCCGTGCACCCAGACACCTTAGATTAGGCCACCTTACCTTTATCCAGCCCACTCAAAACATGGTCATGCACTTCATTGAAAATAGGCCCAGAAGCCGGATAAGTGCCAAAACTCCTCTCCACCATGACCCCATTCGCTGGCCCAAAACCAAGCCCATCTCCTACTGAAACCATCTTAGCCTTTCTCGTCCATTTGAAATGATTTAAATTGGAGACAGCTGGAATCCACTTTGAACGACTCTCTCCCCTGTGCCAACCACGTGGATGATCACCTCTGCTCCCCTACCCACACGCTGGATGCGCGTGAACCACACCCTGATGGGATCGTCGTTCCCAACCTTGCAAAAATGCCTGACGGCCAAATCCCAAACCTCCACCCCTCTGTAAATCCTACCGACCAAAGTTCCGACCACCAACCGTCGAGTACTCACCCTCCTTTACTAAGTGAAAATCCTTCTGAAGCAAGTTGTGTTTTGTTCCCAAAGCTTATCCCTCCATTCCTTCCACCTCTAAAATTCCTCCATCCCTTTCTTACCCATGGATTCCCATCTCAACCATTCCTTCTCCTTAAGCAGGTGAGACCCATCTCCCCCTTCCAAACTGTCAATCGTCGGAATGAGCTGACGATGTGTCTCCTCCCAAACAGCAACCTTGTAACAAAAAAGATCATCATGAACAAAAATGAACGGCGGGCAAGCATGATAGTCCAAAACAGTGATGCGAACCTTCTCAGCATCAATAGATTCATCAGCGTCAACCCAAATGAAACCTCCACACAAATCCCCAACCGTCACGAAGAAAGCGTGGTTCCACAAGTGAAGAGGAAGGCCGTACAAGGTTACCTTCTTCAACCCTTTCTTTTTCAAAACCTTAGAGCATCCCACCCTAAAATTCCACGAATCCAAGTGAAGAGAAGCCTTTCCCCAGTCACGACATCCCTTCTTAAGCACTCTCTCTGCCTCCGCCTTAGAAGGAAAGCGAAAAAAAAGCAAAGAATCCGGCAAGGGCGCCACAACTACCGCCGGCGAGACCTTCCAAACACGAGAAGCCCAGGCTGCAATCTGAGCACAATCACCAACATCTTTACTAGAACCAGAAAGCTCTTTTAACACCAATTTTGCTAACTTAAGCCTTTCCCCAGTCACGACGTCCCATATATTTTTTTTTATTTCTAGTCATTATCACACAAATAAATTTTCATATCCATGCTTGCTTGAAACTTGTATTGTTTCACTCACTCTTACAGAAATGGAATATGTAATTATTAATAATTGGAAAGTGGAAACAAATTTTATTTGTATGTGAGAACGAGGCTAGTTTAAGATTGGAATAGTCATATATCAATTCGAGAACTTATTCTATTGACATTTCTTGTTTCTTTTTATTATATATAAAATCTTCTTTCCTATTTGGAACTCGCACAGAAACTTAACCCTATAGGGACTTGGACCCCGAACTTCTATTTCGGAAGGTGAAGAACTACCACTAGGCTACCACCCTTGGTGGTTATTATATATAACCTTTCATTTGAATCTACCAACAGTTTTTTGTTGTCAATAAAAAATGCACCTACAATTTCATAAATGTACCATATACGTCAATGATTTCTTTTTTACTCCACTTATGTCTAAAGTTCTAACATTCAAGTAACTCAATCAATCGTTTATTGAATCCATGCATTTTTAAAAAGACTTAACTGACATATCCATAATGTGCTTCCAAACTAGTAGCAAAACCCTCCAATTCTATTTGCGTTTATAAAACATTGCCATCTTTAATGAACTAGAAATCACATTCAAGACATAAGTTGAACCCTGGTCATATGATAATTTCATTAATATTAAATCGAACCTAGATACAATGTCCAACAAAGGCACCTAAGGCACCTAATATCAGTGCAAGTTACAGTAATAAGCCACAAAAGTGTTACCACATTAGAAATATTCTAATAATTTCAGCTAATTGGTCAACCAATCTAAGTGAGAGTGCTTATCGTTATAAACTTCAATTATTTTTCATAATATCAATTTAGCGAAACCTATGAACTCAAACTCCTCATACAATTATACGGTTTATACCACTTAGCATGCACTGGTACCCAAGATCCTATACCTCTGTCATGCATATTGGCACCGTTACAGACAAGTATTTTAGTGACATAAGAATGACAAAAAGACTGACTGAATTTATTTTATAACTAAAACAAAGAAACTTGAAGCTCAAAACGGATGATCAAAAAATTATAATCAGCAGCTTAGCAACTGGCAATCAAAGAACAAATATTATCTTTTATTCTAACAAACTTCTAGGCATTCGATTAACTTACAAGGCATATTAGGAGAAGCAACTATGATTTTTTTTTTTTTTTTTGATAAGTAAGAATTTATTAAAAACGCTCAAAAGGGGAGTGAAGCCCAAAGAAACAAAAGGGCCAAAGGGCGCCTTAGACCTTCAGAGAGGCCAAGAAAACAATAATTTCCTCCATGGCTTAATGATTTATTAAAAATCCAAGATTAAATAGAAAAAAAAATTATGTTGCCTGTGCAAGACAAGCTCAATATTTCAATACCCCTACTATGTCAAACAAGATTTGCATAAGTTCCATTAAACCAACAAAGCATTTTCGAAAAAAATAAGTATAAAGTTGCAATTTAAATAAGTAGAGGTCCACTAAACTGAGCTCCATGTGCCTCTTAAACACACACACACACAAAAAAAAAAAAAGAAGAAGAAGGAATAAAGAAGAAGAAGAAGAATAAACAACTTGCTGGATGATTTCATAGTGATGTAGTCTATATGCAACAGGTAATATTCAACATACCTCTGGCAGAACTTCTCTCATTATCTCGTACATGTCTAAAAGAACAAATAGTTTTTCAGGTGACCTCTTGCTTTTGGCAATGGCCTCTCCAAAACTAAGGAGTACGGAAACACTGTTTGCAGTAACTTCAGCAAAACATTGTTCTCTGAGAGAATCAGCACCGTCAAATATTTGATCACATACTTTCTTTTCCCCAGCAAATAGTAATTTGACCTGTTTAAAGTCTGATGAGAAGGTTGGAAAATACAGGAACACTTTGTAAATCATATTTAAATTGATGTAATACTTACAGCAATCCGCATAAAATGAATCCAATTACCAATCTTGGCCTCCAAAACCTCCCACTGCATTCTTTGGACATCATCTTTACTAAGCTTTTCCACACCTAGTTTTTTGAGGCTCTGTTCCAAAACTGAAGCACGAGTGTCCCTGAATGGACAGGTAATGATTGCCCAATTAATGCAAATTATGATGATTTGAATGTAAGGTCCAAACTAAATTCACGTAAAATATTAAATACGGACAACAATTAACTGAGGGAGTGCAAAAATAAATTAATAAATATGTAAATAATGGACACATTCAATGAAAATACAAAACTCAGCTGACATATTCATTTGGAGCATAAAAGAAGTGTGGTTGAAGCTTTCTTTGAAAAATTAAAAATTATTCCAACGTATTTCCCCAATATTGTCAACTGGTAAAATGGAATACCAAGAAGTCCTGGAAAATATTATTTTAAGAAAAAGAGTTGGGCAATGGTACCACGTATGAATAGATCAAAGAAATAAGTTTTTTACCTGTAAACAGTAAACAGTTGCTGTTGGTGGCCAGCCAGAACCATCTGTTGAGCTAAATCATGCAGTAATGGCAAAATCCTGGGTGGAATGAGAGTTGGAGGTGTGTATATAAAAGTTTTTAAGCTTTTATTTTGATTCTCGTTGGTTGAAGATGGTTTCTTGCCACTAGCATCACCCTGACCAGGCGATCCAGACGATGGTCGCAGAGAATTGGGGAGACAATCAAAAAGACGATCAGGTTCCACAGGTTTGCTGGAATCCAAATGAGAGAAAACTTAGCCTCTGTGGAGTCTTACTGTGTTCATATTGATAAAAAAATTATGTAAATTACCTCTAAAGAACCTATAAAGGGCTTAAAAAATGCATCACATTTAAAAAAAGAAAAGAAAAATAGCAGTTGATCACGGGTGACAGTAGTTTGACAGTTACATTTCCTCGCCACACCCCCATGAAGATGAGAAATAAGGCCATTTTCTGACTGACTTAAGAAGCCCGATGTCAAGCCCATTTCAGGCTGGATCACGGGCCAGCCTCAAGGGGCCATGCCAGGCTTAGGCCCAAGGGGTTTCAATTTAGGCCTCTGGCCCATGAGCCTTTTCTACATCCCTAACCAGTAACCATGTTTGTAATGATACACAAAAATGGACATGGATATGTTAAATACTTCAGCCGTCTCAGTTACTTTATTGAATATTTCAATTACATATACTAGCTGCACTAAGTAACAATGATTCTTTGATACCTTCACTACTCTATAGGTAAAGCTACAATCAATGTTGCATGGACATAGAAATAGGATGCAGACTAATGATACAAGCAAATTCTTAGGAGAAAGAAAAATGCTAACATGTGAGCATATAATGCTTTGATGCGTGTACACACTAGACACGACAAGAGGTGTTTGAATAGACACGTCAAGAATGTGTCGAGCACATGTACAAAGTGTCCGAATAGAGGAGCTCATGTCATTCCTGGCTCCTCCCTAAGAGAGTCTGTGGTACTTGAAACAAGAATGTGTCAAGCACATGTACAAAGTGTCTGAATAGAGGTGCTCATGTCAACTGGTTTGATTCATTTTCCAAGTAGGGAAGCATAAAAGGTCTTCGACCCTTGTGACCTCTATTTCATTCCCGTAATCGAACCTCCCACAGAAAGGAGCAAGCACATTTTAAAGGATTCCTTTTGAGTTGATGGGATTGCCTGTGAGCCCTTTGCTCGAGACTCACTATCTTAGTCGTTAGAATAGAGAGTTCAAACTTTGAACACTTTCCCTCTTCCCCTTCTGTTGTCATTCCTGGCTTTTCCCTAAGAGAATCTGTGATACTTGAACCTTTTTTTCTTCTTTTTATGACTCTAAGCTACTTAGCCGACAATATATAAATAAACATTTATTAATTTGATTGTAAGCAAAGAACAAGAGGAGAAGGAAGGAGGAGGAGAAATAGAAGGAAAAGCATAAGCAGAAGCAAAAGAAGAAGATGATGATGAAGAAAAAATTGTTTCATTAGAGAATGATACTTCCAATCTTATAAGTTTTACAATATTACAATTTTAGATACAAGAAGCATAAGGACGTATAATATAAACATAGAAAATTACACGGACCTCCCTTGAAGATAGGCTAAAATACAGTGAGCACCCCACAAAAACAACCAGGCCTTTTCTCAATTATTTGGGGTGGGCTACATGAATCCCATGTTTCCATTCTGCTCTATTTAAAGCCATAGCCTCAGTCAATCCACATGCAATCATAGCTTTCTTACTAACTCTACCCACGTTAACTTTGGTCTTCCTCTTCCCCTAGTATTTTACTCTCAATGTGGACTATGTCAGTTTTCCTAACCGACGCACTTAAAGGTCGTCTTTGCACATGTCCAAACCATCTTAACCTATTTTCTCTCATTTAATATCCAATTGGTGACCCCTTAGTTTTTTATATTAGACTAGCCTCCCTTAGCAGTGTTGTCAGAGTAACACTACCCTCCCTTGCCATAACGGTTGCCAGTGGTGATAGATGAATCTGATGATGTCGTGGCCTGATAAACCAAAACCCAAATTTTACCCTTAAGACCAAAAAAAGGCATCATTATCCATATGTCCTAATGGTAGATGACTAAAATACCCCAATTACATAAATTATATGGACAAAAGTGCCCTTTGCTCAATCTTTGCAAAAACCTCTTTCAGAAAAGCTTAACCAGAACCCCAAAACCTCCATAAATCAAGCAAATCAAAGCAATTGACAAACCCAAATTTTCCAAAATTGCTTCAATATATCATCTTTGATTCTAGTGGCAAAACCATTCCAATTCATTCGAATCCGTAAATTGCCACACCTAGAGCATTATAGAACATTGAAAACCCTCCAAAACAGGCATCTGCTTCAGAAAAACAAACACATCTTCAACCATAACCACACCCATTGCTCCAATGTCGATTATATTTATATCAGCAAAAATGCTCAGAGGGACTAAATGGGTGAGTGACGAAATCGAATTCAATCCCAATTGGATTTGACTGTTAACAGTCATTTGTTCCACCATTCGATTGCCAATGCAAAAACCTAGCTAGAGTTTTTTTGTTAATAACCCTAGCGTGTCTGTGTATATATATATATGTTTCGAATGTGCATTAATTGACAAAACCGAAAAGATAACAATGTTAATTTAGAGTAGAATGTAGATTACATCATAACAGTTCATCACTACCATTTGATAGGGCATTGGGTTGGTGATTCAACATACTAGTGACAATGCCAAGTGATGTCATCACACCTGTTGATTTAGCTTCGGTCCTTGCAATTCCTTATTAAATTTAGGGACAGTACAGCACATGTGTTATTGATTAATTGGGATTGGGATTGCGTGATTAATAGCTAAGAGAGGATTAATTAGAAGGAACAAAAGCAAAATATTGATGAGCGTTTGTGGCAAGTGACATTGGTGAAGGTTTTGGAAGTGGAAAGGGAGAAACAAGATACATGAAGAAAAAACCAATAATAAACTACACGACAAAGAAGCAGCTGACAGGGTCAACACCGCCAAAGGAGGTGATCTTGGTCTTGGTGAAGCCGAAGGCGATGGAGAAGAGATGGGTGGTATGGAGAGTGGGGTAGTGGTGGAAGGGGGTGGAGAGATATGAAAAGGGAAATGTGGAGGGAAAATTTTCCACCTATAACAGCAAGACACATGTGCAAGACATGAGCCACCCGCAACATGACAGCTAGCCAACACCAACACCAACTCAGATAAGGCGTGGACGGCTGATTGGACCTAACAAGCCGATCGGACCTGACAAGCCAATCGACCACCAATTTTGCCAAACGATGAGTAGAGAGATCCCGTGAATTCAGCAATCAATCATATAAGGATAAAGATCACCCAATTAACTCCCGAAGAGGGGGGATTAGCTCCAATCCCAATCAGGGATTGACAGGCGAAGGGGTTAATTTCTTGTATAGATACCGAGAAAAAAAAAGGGAGGACGAGATATGTAAAACAGTGGAGATCAATGAATTCCTTATATTCATAAAGGCATTGCCTGAGTAATAATAGGGGATTTTCCTCATATTCTTGAATGTTTGGTGTTTTTTTTGTTCTTGCTTTTTTCATTTACAAAAATCTACACCTACGAACCTTGTATTTTTCAAAACAATTTTTTAAAATTAAATTATACATAGAAGAACATGGATATCAAGGTCATTTTGCACTTTCTGTTAACCATGTTACTCTGATATTACAGACAAGGGAGGTCAGTGTAATATTTAGAAACTAAGGGGTGTTCACTATATTTTAGGCTTTTTAGCTATCTTTAGGCCAGGGGAGGTCTGTGTAATGTACCCTATATATATAATACCCTTAGCTCTACCTGAATACTATGTTACAAGGACTCTTCAAAAATAGGTGAAGTACTCGTGTTGGGCACACCGACACTTTTGGTTAGACATGCACCTAAAAATTATATCATATAATTCAATTTCAATATATTAGTATTTCAAAATGAGTGAAACGCCTATATCGGACACTGTGTTGTATATAAAGGCATTATTTTAGTCTAGAAAATAGAATAAAAATATTAAATAATATGTATACTTAGCAGTGTCCCTAACTCTCTTTGTCCGTTTTTCAGATTTGACACATCTGACGTTTGGATACGTACCCGTACCTGCACTGGCACCCGCATACATGTGCCCGAGTCCATGTAACATGGACTAAATGGTAAATCTCCCGGTGTTATCAAGGGCCCAAGGCGCACTAAAGCGCAACGCAAGGCATGCACCTGAGTGAAACGAGGCACACAATTGAAAATTTATATTACTATTAAAGCATATTCATATTCTATATTAAAGGCGCAAATGTTGTCAAAGGTGCACGTGGGCACACAACAGGCACAAATATTGTGCCCGTATGAGCCTACGCGCCTTTAACAACACTGATATACACACATACACATTTAATGCACCTGTATCACATAATGCATAAGTTCGCCCGGTCCCCAAGGAAAAAATAAAATTAGCTGAATCTAACATAAATTTGAAGAAAAAGTTTCACATGAGATACATCAATGGAATCTTCAGCACTTCAAATAAGGAATTATGTGGGGCAAAATGTGATTTAATTCTAAAAAAAGAAGTTCAGCAAAAGAGTGTTAAACAAAAATTTTAATCAATTAAGATATTCATGGGTGAGTTTGCATGTGTGCAAGGTTAGAATTTACTATCCAATTTGATATAGACAGTTAACAATATTGGTTTGTAACAGAAGTAAGAGGAAGCCATGCGCTACAAGTAGTAGTTAGATAAAAAAAAACAACAAACCTGTAAGAGGTTAAGAGCTGTCGAAACTCATCTTCCAACTTGGAGATAGCCTTAGCTAGTAAGTTATTGGCATGGTTAAGCACCCCGATACTACTTCTAAGGCTTTTGTTACCGCTGAAAAAACGAACAATGCTTCTCAGCTGATCAATTGCTTCAAGGTAACTTTCTAAATCCTCATGTGGCCCTCTCAATACTTTAGCCTCCGCCTATAAGTAGAAGTCAAGTATCAAAAGCAGCTAAAGAAGATATATAGTGTCCAACAAAGAAAAAATTTTACTTTATTGAACAATTTAAAAAATAAATAAATAAATAAAAAGAAGAAGAAACTTAACCTTCACTATTTGCAAGGATAATTTTCAACTCTTGCAGAAAAACAACCATTAACAGGAGGAGGTATTGTCAATACAAAGATTATAGTGAATTTCATCGACGATGCTCATCAGTTCAATGATAACATCCGAGGATTATCAATACAAAGATTCTAGTGAATTTCATCGACGATGATCATCAGTTCAATAATTTCACTTGGCAAAGTTACTTATATCGTATTATAATAGGATTAAGACAAGTGGCCCGACACATATATAGTAGTAGTATATGAAAATACAGACTTCCGTTTCTAAAAGGATGGTGCGTAGCTTTTGTTATACATCTTGGGTTGGGCTTTTTTGGCATGTATCTTTCCTTTGGGGGTTCTAATTATCAAGCCCATAACTTTTGGGCTCTGTACAAGTTCTACATTTATACTACGCGAATTAGCTTTACCTTTAGGGGAATTTTTTAAACAAAAAGATAAGTAAAAATGTGTGGCTACATCTACATGTGTCTGTGTGTGTGGAGTATTATATAGATTATTAGACTTTTAAATTGATAGAAAACTAATTCGTCAACAACATTTAAAAAATGGGATAAAAATCAATGACACGAACATGGAATGAATTTTTGACAAGTAATGACATAAACAGAGAATGAAAAAACACACACACACACACACAGAGAAGAAAGCGACCTGGCGCGAGAGATCGAATTGGCCCAAGATAACATCAGCAGCCTTGAGCGTCTTATCAATGTTCTCGTGTGCCCTTCGAATCGAATGAGTCCTTATCTAACAAATGAAAGAAACAGATCATAGCGTAGCCCTAACACAAGTTTCGTTCCTTTCTTGAAATCAATCAATATCTAAGTATGAATGTATATATGCATGAATATAGGTGTATATATAAGTATGAATGGATGGAAAGAAGGGAGGAGTAGAATGAGAGAGTGCCTGAGTGGGGCGCATGGCGGTTTCGAGGGCAGAGAGACGGTGATCGAAGGAGCCGAGAATGGAGACCATGTTCTCGGTGATGGTTTGGCTCTTGTGGAGGGATTCTCTCATGACTGAGGCCCTCTCGCTTAGGGTTTCCATGGCCAGATAATGAACAGTCATTTTTCCAAATTCTTCTTCTTCTTCTTTCTGTGCTTCTTGAGAATGCAAATTCAATGCGCCAGAAATATATAATATATAGTATAGAGAGAGAGAGAAAGAAGTTTGAACCCATACGGAAAATGCGTGGGGGTCGTTATGGCAATCTTTATATACTTTTCCCTTCGTTGTTAAGTTAAAAGGTAAAACAAGGTGTTACCTCTTTTACTTATTTACCGAAAAATAAACAAAGGGTTCCCGACTTACCGCTACTCTATCTTGCGTTCAATTTTCTCCCGACTTTTTATTTTATTTATTTTCTTAATGAGCCTAATTTTGGTCTTTTAACACCATAAGCTTAATTTTGTTTCGAATATACTTTCATATTTGACTCACGCTGATACTCACATAGATTGTGAGTAGTGAGGATCAAGTCCAGTGTGTGCTCAGAGGGGCACATGCCCCTCCTAACCGGTCCACTATAAATTATAATATTTTTTATTTTAATTTATATATTTATAAGAAAATTTTTATATAATGCTCCCTTTTTGCACCCTAAAATAATTTTTTACTTAGCCGTGTGTCAGTTGCTCAATGACTTATGTTCAATATGATGATAAGTTATATATGGCACTTGTGATAATTATTTTGGAACATGCGGTGGAAATAAAGTGGGATAAGAATGAAAGAATTTGGTTTAGGTTTAAATTTAAATATTTAAATGGGAAGTTAACTCCTAGGTGACTTTTACTAACTATCTGAAGATGGATATAAAAAATGCTGATAAAGAGGATGAAAAAGGTCCCAACCAACACAACGTATTTTTTAACAATGTAATCTTTTTCTTATATTTTCTTTCCTTTACATGTATTTTCCTTATTCAATTATTTTCTTCGGAGTGTAAGTTCATATTTATGAAATTGATGAATGCTTGTGCAATATCACCTTTCATTTGTTTCATTTTACCAATCGCCTTGAGTTTCTATTAGGACCGATTTCCTTTTTCAGTCAAAAAGATAAGTTTGGTTAGTTTCAATTTGAGTCAAAAGACTCTGCAAGCCCCTTGCAAAATTTTACAGCCAAACACCCCCCTAAAATTTTACTTTTCTAAATTTTTCTTTCATTTTTCTTTTGCTCTTAATATTCTTTTGATTTACTTTTTAAAAAAAATTCGTTACTCAAATTCTATTTTTTTTTTCTTTTAAATTTCTCATTTTTCTTCCCTTTTTCTTTTTCTTATTATTATTATTTTTTTGACTCCCTATTTTGACTCCCTATTTCTTAACATTCTTCTTTTTGTACTTAAGAATGATGTATATAGTATGTAAATTTTTTTATTATTATTTTTTTATTCTTTTTATTTAAATTATTATTATTTTTTTTTTTTTACACTGCACCCGCTCTGAATTAAAATTATGGCCCTACCCCTTACCACATTATTTTTTTGACTCGTGGTTTGAAAATTTTAGAAAATAATTTTAAAGTCATGAGTTAGACAAAGTTTCTTAACTGAATGCTTTTAATATAAAAAAAAGTGGATCTTTCACTCTTGATGATCAATCAAATATCACTATTTTTTTTTTTAAAAAAAGGAAGGTAATTATGAAAATGAAAGCCAATGAAAATTTTAACATTAGCTAGCGTGATTGTAGGAAAATATATATATATATATATGTGCTATTATTTTCTTTCCTTTTTTTTTTTTGTTTATTTATTTATTTTGGGTAGCTATGGTCTAAGTTGGGCAATAGCTTAATGTTGTCCGAGTCAAATTAAGATGTGGTGTTCAATCTAACACGGATAAATAAGGAATTTTCAATTTGTATTGTGAAAGATGGAGGCACTAAGCTCATCAATATTAGGCCAAGGTAGATCCAACCTGTACCTGGGTCTTAATTTGGCTTTTTTAATTGTGTTTAGTATCTCCAACAATTTGTTAAAATATTTTTTTGTTAAGATATACTGTCATGTCATTAATGTGTAAAATAGTTATATATATATATTTTTTTTTTTTTTTGAATTTTAAAGCGACTGAAATATATTAATCTTTCTCCTTCCTCTTTCTCATTCTATTAACGAATCAATCTTATATTAAGTAGGTTTATAAAAATTATGTGAGATCAGCAAAAAAAAATAGTTGGAACTAAAAACAAATAATCCAAATTTTTTTTATAAATCTATTATGACACATCAAATTTATACAAATATATATATATACACACACACATATATATACACACAACAAGTAAAGATGCTCTTGTTTAGCATCCTGACTCGTTTTCCATGTTCAAGCTTTTGATCAGAATTGTATAGTTAATACCTTGCTTATGTTGTTAATGTAGACAAGCATAATGAGTGGAACAATCCTTACATTATGCTGAATTTGACTTTTGGTTTATGTAATTCACATCTCTTTTGAATATTCATAATCCTCAAGCTTTTGCGGACAGAGTTGAGCATGTTGAAGGCTAAGTAGAGACACAGGATCGTTAAATTGCTATATTGATCTATGCTTGCTAAATGATTGTATTTGCACTAGTTGCTCATCTGTTTCATTCTAGTCTTCTTCAGCATGCTACATATGATGATAGTGCACTTGTAAAAAAAAATACATATTTTGGACACTTTCCTTACTATTCTTTTTTAAGCATATTTTGAGTCGGAAAATACACGACTAATTTACCCAAAAAAAAAAAAATACACGACTAATTTTGTTTTTATTTTTAAAGAAAACCATTTTCCACACTTCCTTTTAAAAGAGTTGGTTTTTATAAAAAAAATTATCTCAGCACCCATTTTAATCACGTCCCACCTTAGGAGCCTGACACAACCCCCTCGTGTGTCACCATATAATTAGCACTAATTTTACTATATATATATATATATATATATATATATATATATATGTATGTATGTATGTATATATGTATATATATTAGTATATATCATTGCATGATTTTTTTTTTTTTCCTGTCAAGAACGGGTTTATAACAAATGAACATGACAATCAACATTACCCTACTTCAACAGTTTGATGTGTGAGGCACCTCATTGTCATTGTCATTGTCATTGTCGTAGGGGAAAATCAACTCTCTCCGATTCACTCAATGATCGCCTATTTTTGAGAATTAAATTTATTCTTCACCATACACAGCAAAAATATCATTACATCACATTAACACAAGCATATATAGATATAACAATCATATATATTCGTGTACAACACAATATTTTACTTGACTCACTCAACTCTAAGATTACATACATGGAGAGAGAAATTTTATTTTTACGTAAAATGTGTAATTTACAAGAAAACACTAAATAAACATGCTAAATTTGTATCCCTCAATCTCTATATGACTGTACTAATAAGTAAGATCAATGGTAAGGTCATAAGCAGATAAACTAATAGATATATATTTTTTTTCTTTTCGTCTCAACCACAAATTTATTATAACTTTTTTTATTATATTTCTTTATCGTATTTTTTTTTATAATTAGTTATTCAAAGAGAGAGTCGTGCAGGGATGGATGGTAATGATGGTGGCAAGGTCTTCCAAGAGGATTTTGATTATTGTAGTAATGATATTTTTATATTATCAGCTAATTAACACCATCAGTTCGGTTTCCAACACAAGACTTTCCAAATCCCTTATTTATTTATTTGTACATCATCTAGCTTGGGTAAAACCACTCTTCTCAGGATAACGGCACTCATCTGTCCGTTTTTTAGGTATCCCATTTAAATTATTGACAAATTCATAACAATTATTATGTTTTTTCATAGAGGAGGTACTCTTGTTATAATTACAACACCTCACAAATCAAGTGTAGTAGGTAAGATAAAAAACAATTAGTAAATAATATATAAAATAATCATCAAACAACTAGGTGTAATTTTGTCACCTTTTTTAAATAATAAATAATTTTTTTTTTACAAGATAAAAAAGGTTAGAAGTTAAATTAGTAGATGCAAAAAGTTGAAGCCTGACACTCTAATGTCCACTGAAAGCACTAATCCACTGCACACTGCATTTATTTACTAAACATTAGATATATATATATATATATACTGATAAGAAAGATTAAAATTGTTTTAAAAAAATTCAAACTAAATTTTAGCTAAAGTTTTACTTATCCTTAATTTCATGACCTTTGTGACTGAATCAAACCCTCACATCATTAATCTATGTGTTACCTTTGAAAGAAGATAAGGTGAGCTCATACCAAGTCAGGACAATGAAAAAGCAACAGTATGGGTATGGGGACCCCAATACTACTTTTAGCTTGAAGAGGAAAAGTCTATCATGATATGTTTTAGGCTTTTCCATCTAGGGACATTTCACATCTTCAACAAGTAAAACCACATTTTTGAGAGCGATCGCAGCGAAGTTCTTAAAAGTATATATATATATATATATATAAGAAAAAGAAAAATAAACGGAACAGTAGGGATTAGATTTTGGTCTTATCCAATGGAAATCTCTTAACTAGCCCTAGCCCTTTTTCCATTGAGAATCATTCACCTAAAAAAATATTTACAACGCAAAATCTAGGATATTTCATGTGGATGTGTCCTAATCCCTACTTACCAAACTTCCGCCCGATACTTGATCAGTGCACACATGGTTAAGAACACATAATACTCTTGGATTACTCACTCATACCATAACCCACCAACTCTTTTATGCTTGAAGATTTTTGACAATGTGACTTTTTAGGTAAATTCGATAAAATCATTCCCAATACTATCTATATACTCCATATATTTGGAATTTGAAAGTTGAATATTCATTTCTTCCTCCTAACTTTGATCACTTCAAACGTATAAGAAAATTCACCCAACTTTTGACTCAACTAATAAAGATATTACATGACTTTCCTTTTTTATTTTTCAAATATTTTACTTTGCCAGAACTACTTTCAACTTGTATATGGGTAAACAAACAATTACTTATCATATACTTAAAAAATAGAGAGATACTAACATTCAACCAATTTATTACTTAAAAAGGTAATGGAATCCGTTCAAATGCAAAAGCACCAAGAAGTCTCTCTCCATTGCATTCCCTCCAATTCATTTTATTTATTGTCAATTGGTTGCATAACTGTAATCAAGGTATTGTGTGAGTTTCTTGATAGGAAATTGAGATTTGAACGGTACCAAGGCTATACTTGCGCTTCAACTTATTAGCTGATACCACTGAGAATGTTCAAAACATAAAAATGTTCATCTTTTAGCATATACAGTAATTATTAACTAGTATATGTATAGCAAATTTTGAACAAAACTAAAAAGTGACCAACACAAAGTGAAACATGATGCAAATTTGCCAAACACAACTTTACTTGATCCAAAAATTATGGAGGGTCCATACACACCCCTACAACAAAAGGGCAAAAAGGAAATGCCAATTAATAATATCCCAATCAAAAGGGTAAATTGGTATTCAAATCCATATTTAGATACACACATTGTTTGTACCAAACAAGAAAAAGCAGCATTTGGAGAGTCCAAAACAAAGTCTAAGAATTACAACCCAACCCAACCCAAATGCAAGAGCACACACCCTTTTCTTTTCTCACCACCACCCAAAAACACTTGCAATTGGACAAACACCCACCTTCTTCACCTTACCAACTACTATACCCTTTCTCCTCCAAAGGGCATATGCAGTGTAAATATATGTCATATCTACTATAATCTATATCATCATTATTCACCAAATACTCTCATCTACTCTATTTACTCATATAGAGTCACCAATCCTATGGTATCAACCAGTGATATACGTTCCATACCGTACACCAAAAAAGCTGTAACAGGGTTTACCAGAAGCACTGAATCAAAAAGCAAATTGACCAGGAAGTGCTTTTTCACAAGCCTTTTCCGGCCGAGCAATCGGACCGGCCGATGAACGGAAACCCACCGTGACGGCGTCGTATATGCACCAGTGAAACGGCGCTGCCTTTCCTCTCCTGTTCGCGTTCATACATTCCTCGCACAAACTTCGATGATCCACATAACCATCTTCAAGGTTCGGAACCGAATCCAGATCGAAATTCGTATTCAAATTCATAGTCGTCAAGTACTGATCTTCTCGAATCTGCAATTTCTTTAGCCTCTCATCGTAATCCAGAAAGTCCGACGGCGTAATCTGATGGTAATAAGGCGAAAAGTAGCCTGAATTTCGTGAATCGTTCGACTCAGGTTTGTTTCTCCGGAGAAGAAGAAACTTTCCCGGTGACGGAGAGATTTTATTTACAGGCAGGTAATCGCTGAACTCAAGGGTACTCTGTTTTGGCTTTCGCTTCCTCTGTCTTCTTGATCGCTTCAACACCACAAGAAAGGAACAATCCTTTTTGAGAGCGATCGCAGCGAAGTTCGCCTTACCGGTGATCGGGATTTTCAGACGACTTCCCGGCGAAAATTTGGAACTCTTCCGGTCGACGAGGTAAATGGAGATCTGGTTAGGGGAGATTCCGACCTTTTCGCTTACAACCGATTGAAACTTCTTGAATTCAAGAGATGGATAAATATTGACGTCGCCTATCACGAATTCGCGATCGCCGTCGAAGAAGGCCACCGGGAAGTGTACGCCACCACGGTCGTCCACCATGTTTGCGTCAGAATCGGTGTCTAAAAGAGGTTTCTGAAGAGAGTTGCGTTTTGGGGGAATGGGGAGGGTTTTATAAGTGGCGCGGGCAGGTTTGGGGGTTTAGGGCTGGAACAGAAATTATATTGTGGCGGTGGGGTCTTTTTGGTACCATAACTATTTATTTTGTAGAGGAGATGCGGAAGCATTCAAAAGTAGTTTCCAGACATTTTTTTTTTTTATGGAAACTTGGGTGTTGCTTGGGCGTCAAGTAACGACCCATTACGCTTAACTAGACTCATTTCTCACGTTCTCAAAAAGCCTCTGGGTCGATACTACCCTTCCAAGTTAGAGAAATTTACATTTCCGTACATCCACCGCATTGAAGTGTTGTTCCAACCGTTTGAGCGCCTAAAAAGTTAATATGAGACTGTAAATCACTCCACTCATTTATTTTAAGCTCCGATTTTACAGTCAAATTCAAACTGAATTCATATCCACCCAAGTCAATTTTAAGCTCACTCTTGAATTCAAGCTTAAAAAATGAGTGAGATCTAAATTAATAAATTAAAAAAAAAAAAAAATTTGAATATAAATCCAACAATTCTTAAAAAAATGAAATCATATTTGAGTTCTTTAGAATATTTTGAAAACAATTCATACTCAACTCATTTGTCAAAAGTATTTAAAAACTGAACTTGACAACCTCTATTTGGTTAACACTTGTTTGGAGCATTAATCAAATCGAGTTAAAAGTTCATTTATAACACTAATTTAATAAACAAGTCAAAACATGAATTTGAGGCTAAACTGCACCAACCCTCCAGCTAACTAACGGAGTTTAGAATTCCGGTGTTAAAGTGCTCATTCGACATTTGGGTTGATTTTTTATTTTAATTTTTACAAAAATACCCTTGTTATCTGGTTCATTCATTGCCCCACTATGAATTTCAAGAATGGGTGGTTCTCCAAGAAAAGCTTAATCAGAACAAGTTGGGGTTAATGGAGGATCAAAAACCTTCCGTGAAATGGAAATGAATGATAAAACGCTATTAAATAATAATAACAAATGAAAAAGACAACATGGAGACATTATAACAGTGCAGTTACCAACTACAAATGAAAAGAGAAACAAAAGAAATTTACCAATTCAGAAACAAGTCAGTTAGGATGCAGCAAATTAGTAATCCATTAACCACACACGGAATCTCAACACTTTGGCAGTTTTTCCTTGATGCTGTGGCAGTGCTAAAGTGTTCTCCTCAAGGCCTGCCCTTCAAAACTTAAATCAGTCAAGTAAAAAGAAAGAAAAAAGGAGGGTACATTTTTTTGAACAAATTGTAAATCAATCTGAAATGGAGGAAACTCATATGCTTGTTGACATTTACATAGAGATGACTATGAAGAGCAGGCCACAGAAGAAGGTATCCATTTCATCATGATTGTAGGTCTAAATACATCATCTCTCCATTATATAGTATAGCAGCATGCAAAGAAGGAGATAACTTAATCCAATGGTTGATGGAGGTTGGGCAATTTATCTATGATATGTAAACCAACCTAGTTGTCCAAGTCACTGGTTTTGTACACCAAGAATGAGCTAGTGCCTGTATATTTCGATGCCAATGCCTTTCCAGCTATGGTCGGCTGGGAGAATGCCAACTGGGAGTGGTCCAGGACAACTCCCTCCCTGAAACTTCTCCTGCATTGGAGAGTAAATATGAGAACACAGAAAATACAAAAGTGCCAACAAATTAATTGAAAAAGGCAGATAGTGGCCAGAACATGAGTGCCCAGAGGTGAGGAGAGGAGAAATATATTCCACATTCATTTTAAGGTTTTCAAAATATCAAAAATAATATTACCTCCTGACTCATTTTAATTGTTCTTTCTATTATGCCAATTGTCATCATCCTTCCCTTTCTCCCATATGAATATTATATACCATGTCTTCTTTTAGATTTAATTTTTTAAATTGTTTTTAATTACTTCCTCCAAGGTAAGTTTTGGTCGGCCTCTATCGTTTATCTTCTACTCTTCTAGACAAACAACTCTTCAGCGTGTCCCCAGTAAGGACCTTCTGAGTATATAGAGTTGTATTTAAAATACCACGGGGGCTATGTGCTTCCGAACTACAGGAGGGAAGCTTTTTAGAAGTCAAAGGATTTCATTGGTGGCACTAAGTATAAAATACAGAAATTCATCACTGCACGGAAAAATTACTTAATCTAGCTTCTGTTACAATAAGATAAAATGAATCAGAGTTAAAAGAAAGATTGAAAATATGTAGGGGAAGGAGATAATTCTTTGAGAAGAAAAGCTAGCTGAATTTAGGTTCCATTGATCTCTAATGAAATTGGATCCACATAAGTGAAAGTAACTAATGCGCAAGCTGAAGGGAAAATTTCTCAAAGCTGAGGATGTTGCAAAAGATGCTGCTCAACCTTGTCGCTTGCGTTGTGAATCCTACCATGATGAGGGCTCTCGGCATTTTCCAGTGAGTAATAGGCGAAGTCAAGCTTTCTGAATAAATATCTCTAGGACGATGGTAAGTTGGATGATTATTTCTGCAGCCATTCTATGAAATAAAAATAAGCTTCATCTTGAGCAGGACATAATTGCTTTACGACTGATTTCAGATGTATTGTTAGACCTGTTAAACTGGGTGGAAGAATAGCTCAATAATTTAGCAAAAAACTGTATTTTTTTAATCCTTCCAAGTCCTCTATTAGGCATATTGCAACCAATCTATCGTATGACAGCCTTTATTTTTTGGTTCACATGAATTGGTTCGTTTAAGAAACCAAACTGAAAACAACCATGAAAAGAGATAGGACATAGACAAAAGTAATAAAATTTTACCTGGTAGCATCAAGTAAATGGCTGGCAACATGTTTTCTTCTGTTAAAGGGAGTGACCCAAATGGCTCTAATGCCACATAGAGCAGGTACAGCTTCCTTTTCACAGAACATTGCCCCATTGAGGTTCCCATCCGACAACTCAGTACTACTGATATAAGAGGTTCTTCTTATCAATTCCCTCTGAAAGCTCACTTCACCAAATTGGAGGGTGGCTGGAATTGATCTTTTTTCCTTCGTGCCAGTACCATCTGATCTTCCATCCACCAAGGTTGAGAGCATCTTATAGGCCTTCTTTATTGGTTCCGCAACCAGACAACCAGCAATCCTTTGAGAGGAAATAAACAGATACACCTGCAATCAGGAAAAATTGTGGTTAAGATCTTTCTATTAGACCGCAAAGGACCAAAACTGTTTTAAAGAAATTAATTAACTATTGAAATATTAGGGATTTAATAAAAATATAGTTAGAAAAAAGTTTTAGAAGCCAGTGATAGCCACAGAAGTGAATAATGAACTTTAATTAGGAAAACAACACATATTAGAAAAGAAATGCAAAATCTACAACTCAATTTCATGGAAAAATTAAACTTTGCAAAATAAAAAGGAAAACAGCTGGAATTTATTCAAGATGTAATTATAAACTCCATCTATCAATTACTTATCAAAATAAATATATATATATATATATATATCAATTGGGGAAAAATATGAATGTGGATATGATCATGTAATCTGTATGCTAATGGAAAAATACAATTTGATCCAAAAATATAAGTTAAAAATTTTGCTAGTGAATCAGAAACACACTGTTATCAAAGCAATCAGGTATAACTCACTGTTCACCACCTTACAGCTCTGATGATATACCCATCCATCTCCAAGTTCCATCTCCATTATCTTTACAACCTCCTGAACCTGCCAATGCAAATGTGTCTGGAATGAAGCTCTAATTTTCATGTTCTTAATGTGTGCACATATATGCGCTTGTGTATATAAATATATGTATTCATGTATAGGTAATAATTATTTATCTGCAATTCAAAGATGAACATGAACCTTGTTTCTCTGATGAAGAGGATCACATTCCAAAACCAAAACAATACGACCAACTTCAACTGAAGGAATCTGAATAACTCTTTCGTTACGCCAACCCTGAAATTTAAGCTTATAATAATCATAAGCAATCATTACAGACACACACACAAACGTATTCTTAGAAAACTACCTTGAATTGGATACCATGTGTATAATTCTTGTGCAATGTCTTGTGAACCTTTTCATCCCCTTCATCACCAGCAGCATACTTGAATCCACATGTAGCACATGTGTGTAGGAGAAAATCAGACTGACCCAAATCCAAATGGTACTGCACATAGCTTCTCTTCTTATTCAGAGTTTTCCCCAATATAGTCAACGCAGGTTTCGACAATGAATTCACTGAATTGAGTCTCTTCTCCGCTTCACCAATCGATCCACCGCACCCACTTTTGAACAAAATACATGTTAGATATATATGTGTGTGTGTGTGTGTGTGAATCAGAAAAATGCAGGTAATGATTAGATAATGTCTCATTCAATAATATCAAGCAAATTGGGGTATATATAAATATCAGAACCCTAGTCCCAAGAAAAAAACATGAAACCCTAGATTGCAGGACAAAGTAATTTGATCCCCTCAGCCCCCTCCCACAAGTATATATATGCATATATACACACACAGAGAGATAACCAGGAAAAAAACACACAGAGAGAGATAAGGGAAGGAAAAAAGAAAAAGAAAAAAAACGTGAGAGAGAGAGAGAGATGGTGAATACCCATCTGGGTTTGGAGATCTGCGCTTGTATGTAATGAGGATCTCTGGTTCTGTCTCATTGTTGTTGTTGTAGTCGCCACCAAATATATCTTCAGGAAATGGAGATGATGATGATGATTGGTCAGGGGATTTGGGAGCTGAAGAGGCAGAGGGTTTGAAGAATGAATTGATCTTTGATTGCATCCTTTTCTTTCTGAGAGCAGGGCTTTGGATTAGGAAAAAGTAAAAGAAAAAAATAACTCGTGTTTTGGCGCTAAAACTTGCTTTCTTGCCAAAATGTGTTTGTTTTAAATTTTTAATTGACTTTCCCGCCAAGAGAGTTTGAATAAGTCATCCATCCATACATTTCATATTTTTTCTCTGGGAATTGCAAAACAAAATTCTCACCAATCTTTTTTTATTTTTATTTTTTTGGAGTGGGTTTTGCGGATCCTCTTCAAGCTGCATTCTCTCTCCTAAATCCACAATTTATCTTAACAAAAAAAAATAATGACGTGGAGTAGTTAACTCTTTTAGTCTCTCTCTTGTTTTTACAAATAAAATAAATATAAATCCCGATTCAAGATGTTTTGACTTTTTTCCATGTCAGAAAACGAATGGAGGTGGAAGAAATTACAACTGAAAAACAATTTGGGATTTTGAATGAAGAAAAAAAAAAAAACTATTCAATAGGAGACTTTTACAGTGTAACGGACCTCCACCAAGAAACTTGCACTTTGTTTGATTACAATGGAAAAATGACTACAAAATCTTTTCAAATTACAAATGTAGAAAAAGAATAATAGATATTGAATTAATCTTTGTTAAGACATTTGATTACATGTTTCTTTGTCCCATCAAAATCGAACTTGATAATTTAGGGAAAACGTAGTATTACATAATGCAGAATGCTCTCTCCATTCACAAGTGTCGGAAAATCATCCTTATTATAAGCTTACTCTTACCAATTTCTTGTCCACTTAGTCATTTGGACGCACCATTGTACAACTTAAGGAGTCATATTTAGTTTTACAGTAAGATCTGTGTAATCCAAGTAATAATAAACAATTATTCATAATCATATTCAAACAATACCCCATTAGCCATTTAGCCAAATTTCTGGTATGCCATGGTTGCTTAAACAACCTCCCCAGAAGCAGCTATGGGCAAATACTTGAACAATTCACACACTTATTACAAGCTCAATACCATTGTTTCAAGCTGCTAGTTTTCTCCACTTGCATTAAGATTATATATGTTTTGCAAAAGATTAAAATATATTGTTGAAACAAACGTTTAAGTTGAGATATATTCTCAGCTTTAAAGGAATGGAACAAACGTTTAAGTTGAGATATTCTCAGTTTTAAAGGAATGGAACAAACCTTTAAGTCGCAACTAATATCTACAAGCGTATCCAGGAAAGAACTAAAATTTTACGGTTCAAGGAATGGAACAGAATTCTACACCCAACACCATCATATTAATTATAGAGATGTGGATCATCTGCTGCACAGTAAAATTGCAGATGTGATTTTAAAGAACTTATGCACGTTACAGAAGAGACATAGTTGTATAAATTTCCTCTCTTCTTCTTCTAATACATACACATTTTTATAGGCAAACCCAATATTGCTATTCTATGCATGTGTTATTTAACTGATCTTGGTGAACCTTGAAGCTCAAACTCACAGCCTTCAACCGGGGACCATTTTAAATTGAGGCGCCATGGTTTTTTACTTGCATAGGCTGAATTAAAATGTGGTATACCACCATCACATGCAAACTTGAGAAATGAATGGTTTGATCTACCAACGCAAATTCCCGTCTTGAGGATCACCAGCAAACACTTTCTTCTGAACACTTCGGTATGTGCAGTCATAATATTCCATTGTCCTCACTAGTAATCTGAGGGAAGAAAAAAAAAAAAGAGAGAAAATTATGAGATATTAAGTAGCACCTCATTCCAAACTACCTGACCAATACCAGCTACCTACCATGAGAAATATCAGTTATCTATCAAGGGTTTAGGTGATTATAAGATGACATAAGAAGGAACAATTACATGACTTCTAAGACAAACGTTTCAGAGTTCATCGCACATGCGATGGTACCAAAAATGCCCTGCATTGTGTTCAAAATAAAGATCCACTGTCAGCCTGATCTAAGCAGGTTGGGCTTCAATTGGATTAACGTGTCACCTGACCTCACCCAAGACCAATCTATTATATATATATAGATACTATCATTTTAGGTATATATAAATTATGTTTGTTCGTAGCGAATAAATCCAGCAATGGCAGATGAATAAACTTTTGAAAAGTTACAAATTACTTCACATCACACACGATCATAGACAAGACAAAGATACAGTCTAATTGGTGTTGCATGTCATAGACAAAGATACAGTCTAATTGGTGTTGTATATATAATTAGAATACTTTTGTTTCATGAGTTGTTTATTGCATTTCTTATCAATATATTTTTAATTATTCCCATTTGTCTACTCTACTATATCTAATATGCAAGCCAACTTGTTATAAAGATATGCTCAATAAATTGACATTGCAAAGGAGTTATCAACAGGACCAAAAACATAAAATGGGTGCAAACTGCTCCCAGAACACAAACAAGCCAGCCATGCAAATGGCTGAAATAACACAAGTTTAGGTCATACATGGAATGTGTGGCCTTTTCAAGACCTCAGCGATTTTATAAGTCATGGTCCCTAGTTTGAATACAAGTCCATCTTATCCCATACCCAAACATGGTGCATGAACTGGGCATATATTCCACAAGAGCACAACGTTCTATGCAAGAGCGGATAGCATAAGGTCCACAAATAACTAACTCTTATCCAGTGATTCCTAACTAAAATAACTAACTCCATCTTTATAACATAACTGTCTCACTACAACACAAGTCTGATCCGGCTAAACTGCTCGAAAAGAAAAGGGAAATAAAAATTAATAAATTTAAGTAGTCCAATCAATTTATTTCTCCATCATAGTCAACCTACACAACGGACCCTTCCTATCATCCCCCAATCTCCTCACTGGACAAATCACCTTCCCCTCCTTGGAATTCAGCACCTTGACTTCTTCCTGTACCCTAGCCTTTCTAATGCTCAGATTTCCACTCAAATTGGTTCCATTTCTTCTCATCAGAATTAAGACATTTAAAGTTAGTTTATCAACACAAATCATGGGAGCCCACCACTGAAAACTCATTTTAGTGAAACAACAGCAGCTACACATCATAAGGGAAAAAAAGAGAGTTTACAAGAAGCTCTAGCAAGCATCCCCACATATTTTCATTGTTCCCAATCCCTGCATTGATTATTCAATAATCAGGAAGATTAGAAGTAACAGACATAACCGAACTCAACCGTGACTGACCAATCAAATCATAGAACTAATGAAGCTCCTTAACAAGTCCAAGTACCGCACTGTTGACAATTTGAGCAAGAAGCTGGTAGGAATCTCGTTGACTCAGCAGGTTTAATTTCATCATTCAACACAACAACTGGGATTGTTTCCATCAAAAACTATGAAGCATGAACGACAAAACAGGAAAACAAAAACATGGAATGGTATTGAAAGCACTCTGCATGGAGTTTCTCTTTCTTCACTAAATTAAATTATAAAAAAACAAAACAGTACCACCCATTAAACAAATAGGAGAATATAAATTATTTTGCTAGTGGGCTGATATGCTTGCTAAATTACAGACATATACAGCACATTTTGAAGTTCTCTAGTAACTCAGAAAAATGTTCTACCAGAAAAGGTCTCTTGCAAAATGCCAAATCCTCTAATTTACTGAACTAAACAGGTGGAATTGAATATCAAATACCATATTATCTCATAAATTAATTGGACACAGACGAAACAAAATGCTTAATTTGTACACAAAGTGCTGGCTGCGATGCGGCAAATAAAAATGAGCACAACATGCCAGCACTGATTCAAATAAAAGGAAGAACACTTACTGGCGAAGTTACATGGTGCAGGAAATTCCTCTGAGATTACTGGCATCACACTGAATTATGTACTTGTTACAGTCTTTAATCTATCAAATGCACATTGTACTTTGTGCCTTTCTTCAATGGTCATGTTGATTTGTTCAGAAGACTGCATTAAATAGATAGAGGAAATTCAAATTGACATGTACATCAATACTCATCTGAGTGCTAGTATCTAATGGTATAATTATGTGCCAGTGTATTTAGTTACTGGCTGTTTGAAGGGAGAATAAAGCAAATAATCAGATTACAAGGTGTCTTAAACTTGACAAGAAAGCAAGTGAAACAGTTTAAGGATGTATCAAAAGCAGATATCGAGTGTAAAATGTGGCAAGTACTACTCCGAAAATGGAGCTCTTTTGCGGTACTTTAAATTTGGGGCACTAAAGGGTTTGCCTTTTTCTTTGGATGGGAATGAAAGTTAGTCAAGGAAAGAAATTAAACTGTGAAGAGATTTCCTTCAAGAAAAAAAAACCTAAAAACACAATAAGGCATGCTATATCTTATATTCTTAGCTTAAAATTTGGGAACTTTTTAAGCACATGATGAATTCTAATTACCAGCCTTGGGATTTCTACTGCAACTAATCAAATTAAGCAATCACCTTCAACAAAATTTTAAACAGCCCCCACTTTTCTTGATAGATTAAGGCCCCTACTTTTGGTTTCTAATGAGATCTTATTTATGCTCCTCTCTACTTCAAATCCATCCCAACAAGTTCCTTGATGAAACACGACATAATGGGGACTCAAATGCCCTTCTTATCAAAGCCTCCATATAGTTCAAATCTTTCCTCTCAATGGAATATCCAAGTAGCAAACTCTTGACTGACTTCTTGTATAACTTCACTTTAAACAATTACATCACAATTCCCACCGGCTGGAAAGATGCCGGTTGCTCTGACCTCTTCGGATCCAAAAATATGCATAACAAAGGAGTCTTGAGATCATGAAAGATATTTGCGGAAAAATTGCATTCTTGGATGCTCTGGTATTTTATAAAGAAGTTTAAGGGTGAACAAAGAACCAATCAAGTTGCTGATTTCTTTGAGGCTGGAGATAATATAATTAGATTGATTTGAGTATCATCTTGTGAAGGCTAATGATGATCAATTTAGTTCCCTTGGCCAGTTCAGTGGGTCTTAATGGTACTACATGGATTGGATTCCAAACACTATTTGATAATTCAATAGTTTAAATAAAAATAAATTTTCACATAGAATACGCTCTTTCCACCGGCAAGTCTCTTTGGGGAGTTTGTAGATAGATACTCATTTCTTTGAGGTGCCAGACATCAAAATAGTCCATAGGCTGATTTTCTTGCAAGAGATGTGAAATGCAAGCTAATATTTATTTAGAGACAATCTTTTTTCTAATTTCCCCATGAAAGTCGAGGTCACATCAGAAAGGGGTTACGAGGATGTTTTAGTTCACAACCTTCAAACTAATTTCTTGCTTCCATCTAAACCATTTATTGAAGTAAGACTCAATGCCACTTGTAAGTTGGTTCTTTCCATTTAATGTTGTTATGACAAACGCAGCGAACCAAGCAACAATTACGAAACACGACAGAAAAATAAACACACCACACAAAGCTCAACAAACGGGTCGTCGGTTTGTAAGCCGGTCACTATAGGACCCGGCACCAAATTCGGGCCACAACATCACAAATGTAGTACTAAGCAACAACCCAATTTGGATGTGAAAAGAAGGGAGGAGAGGAATAGGACAAGTCTTCGTTGTTTGGCACCAGGGAGAGTAGGAGGTAAGGGAAATAATGGATGGATTACGCATCCCTACTAGCCCACCATTTTTCATCACTCCAAAATTGGATGGAAGAGAGGAGGGAAGAGAAGGATAAGTAGGCTATATTATGTATAGTTACGTTATTAACATCATAATTTCTTTACAAAATTATTTAATGAGGATATAGAGGTAAAAACAATATAATACCCCTTCTTCCATTCCCTTTCCTTCACTTTGCCAAACAATGGAAGGTGTCACTTCCTTGTACTCCCTTCCACAGTTCCACTCAACCGAACAAAAATGGATAACGACACCCCCCCTTCCCTAGGATGTCTCATCCATCTTCCAACCCTCCCTTCGATCCACTCTTCCATCTTTATGTCTAATGAAGCATCAAGTAAGCAAGTAAAAATATTTAAAAGAACACTTGTAATGCATAAGAGGAGGTAGCTAATAATTTACAATTTTCCCTGAATTGAGGTTGCAATTATCCAAAATATTAGCACAATGACATCCCTAACATGCGTATCACCTCCAAAGTTAGGACCGTGTAGCATGTATCGATGCTTCGAAGACATACACATTTGCTAACGCGACACGGTAACGAGCACGAAGTCATATTGAGCATAACATAACAGAATTGGTTATCGCAGTTGTGAACTTTTTTCAACTCTGCACATGGAGCCTAAAACACCATGTACACAAATTTTTACAACATAATCCAATAATATGACTTTTTAATAAACTTTAGTGAATTTTTGAAGAACATTTAACACTAGTAATGACTTATAAACGAATTGACTGATTCTTCAAACCTTGCATAGATCCTAATCTTTATGGACTGAGGATATTTCACATTACGATGCTCTTCAACTCTATTGTCACAACAAGCATATTTTATAAACTTTTGTAAAATATGAAATCGTTACATTGATATACAAAATGCAAAAATCTAATACAGTGGGAAGTTCTTAAGACATGGAAAATTTTTAAGTTCGGCTTTGGCTATGATATCATACCTCAAATTCTGTAATTATATTTTTTTCTTATTGAAACCATGTGATGTGTTCTCACAGTAGCAACTTTCTACAAATACTACCAATGGTTGGGACTAACACAGTCAATTCCTGCTAGCACTCTGTGCATGGCAGGACCAACACTAGGCAATGACCTCAAAGGAATTGAAACTACAATGATAAATTTTAGTGAAGGAAATACTTTGTCATACCATAATAAAACATGGACATACTCTGGATAGGGATCTGTTGCCTCAACAGTAAAGGTGAACAAGGAAAAATAAAAATGATGACGAAGTTTTTGCTCAAGAAGCAAAATTATACCTGTACAACAAGAATGTTCTGCAGTATACAGTCAATCTCCGCCTTGCATGATGAAAGAATTCTCTGGATTTTGATATCCTTACGCATCAGCAGAAGGATAGAAACAATTGAAGTTATCCTACTTGAATGGTCAGTGGCAGATCGGATACAAGTACAACAAAAGAGTGATGAACTCTTTTCAGCTACCAATGAACCCATCATGTTTAACACAAGATTTAGAAGTTTGTTAATTCTGTAAAACAAAATGAAGCACGGTAGTAGATAATAGCGGCTTGAGCTTGTTCGAATGGAGATGGTGGACTCATCATCACCTTCCGGAATGCACTGCATCAAAGGGAAAAGCTTCAATCTACACACACACACACATACATAAAGTGACTGTTGCAGTAGTAAATACAATAACAAAATCCTTCTAACTGAGGAACTAGACAATCTTGAAAATGATATCATCAGCAGAAGAGAGCGCGTGAAGTATCAAATAATTGTAATAATAAGGGACCAACAAAAATCACTAAATGAAGAATTTTGTAATACATAGAAACGAATTATTCCCAATGCAAAACCACTTTACATGCACTTTCTCCCTCTTCCTTGAACAAAACAAAACTATCCCATACCATCTATCACTAAATTAGGTATTTCATAGTTCAGGTCCACTAAAGCATAGCTAAAGGTATAAAATTTAAATGGAATCTTTAAACCAGATACTCAAATTCCATAGAAAAAAGAATTTGGCTCCACTGGCCTCAAAAAATAACAATGGTTGAGGGAACTTTACCACCGAGCCTCTAGTTCAACTAATTTCTCTCATCCTCTCATAAAGGGCGTTGAGGATTCAAGTCCTCATCGCGGAATAGTGGGTGCGTGTATTCTTACCAAAAAACAATAAGAATGGGCACAATGAATGAAAAAATAGCAGAAACTGGGGCAGAATTTAATTTCCAGTTACTCCATATTCTAAAGCCATATCCAAATGCCTTGACTGATAACCCAAAGAAGATGATCTATTATACAATTCAAGCCAAACATAATTGCAAAGATGTTGGACCACGAAACATGTAACAATTGAAAAAAAAAAGGGTTTGTTGAGTTAAGGTAGAGTATGACAACAAGCAGATTCTTGTAATAAATTGAAGGTGGAAAAGAGCGAAAGAAAAGTGGATGAGAGAGTCAGAGAGAGAAGAGGGGAGGGGGGATTACCGCAAGTGGTGGAGGAGAATAGAGGTTGATTTAACAGCCTTATATTTTATTGTAGTGGAACAAATCATACAAGGGCGGAATGGAAGATTTTAGATGTAAATTATATGTGAAAGCCATTATTATCCAAAATTGTAACTAATAAAAAAATCAATCAAGCTAGGGTCGAAGGGCATAAGATATGATTTTGTTATTTGAGTTTGATTGATGAAAGAGTTATTCATAAGTTCCTTTTTATAGATATTATGTTGAGAATTTTATTTTGATATTTTCCTTTCAAGAAACTGAAAAAGTACACCACACATTGTATCAACTGAAGGGTAGAAAATCACTCAATGTGACTTGTATCATTAGTTAATATATGCAAATCCAAGATCCAATACAGCCATCATATAAACAGGAGAATTTAAACTGACAGTGATATGAAGCATGCGTCCAAGAAGAAAAATTACTTACAAATACAACATCAATTAAGTATCCTGGAAGGAAACTACTTAAATTGATGATACTCTGTTCCGAAAGTCTTGTTGGCATCGAGTCGAGTGTAACAAGCATTCTGAGCAGAGCACAGGTGTTGTCTAAAGGTGGTTTAAGAGACTGAAATGACCAAAAAATAAAAGTCAGCAGTAAGTTGTATTCAAAGAGGGAAATATTTTTTGCAAACTCATCAACTTACAATTAACTCAAAAGAAACTCAAGAAAATCATTACATGACGAAAAATTTAACCGCTACAAATTATTAGTGTGCAAAAAAGTTAGTAAAATCCATGTAAAGACAAAATATATAATCTGGTTGTTTAGCTGACTTACTATTTGATCAAGAATTACTTTCTCCAGTATTTGCAAAACAAGATAATCATCCCCCATCTGTGACAGGCAAGAGCAAACTACACTAGTGATTGACTTAAAAGTTCCACGATTTGAGATCTCGTCTTTCTCCATAATAGGACAAATCCTTTCTGCAAAAGAAAATCCCTTTTCCAGCGTTAAAACATTAACCAACTCATCAACCAAATATCTGTTTGGAAGCAAAATGAACTGTATCTAAAACATAAGAAACACATGACATTAGTAAATGCTTTTAGAGAAAAACTGAAAACGTGTCATCTCTTCTCTAAAGTTCTATTTGCATTTGACAGTTCAAACTCTATTATGACCTTTCGTTATTTATTGTTATTTTTTTGATAAGTAAGATTACATAAAAGGTGCTGGACGCCAAAGGCGACAACTATAGCTTCAAGCTATCCACAAAATCCAAAAGATGCCCCAAAGATTTACAATTACGCCCATTAACCCAAAAAAATAAAGTATACAATACACTGTATTTGAGAGTCCAAAAAGGAGTCTTCTCTCCATCAAAGGATCTCCTGTTTCTCTCACGCCACAAACCCCTCCATAAACAAAGGGGAATGGTCCTCCAAACATCCCTGGCTCGGCCCTCCACTAGACACTCTCTCCAAGCCTCAATCATATCCACTGTGGATCCTTGGAACACCCAAGACAGGCCAAGCGCAACCAAAAACATAGCCCAAACATCCCTCGGCTTTACAGGATTGCTTCTGACAGGCAAGCCTTGGTGGTTGACTGTTATCACCTTGATAACGGAAGACTAACTTGGAACGTTCAGTTTAGGAGGCATTTTCAGGATTGGGAAATTGAGGAGGTCACTCGTTTTTTGGAGTTACTGTATCGTCAGGTGATCTCTCATGAGGAGGCTGATTGTTGGCTTTGGAGTCCACACTCTCAGGGTCGTTTCAAGGTGAGATCCTTTTTCAGGTGCCTTTCTGATGGGGAGGGTGGCACTTTCCCTTGGAAGGCTATTTGGCATTCCAAGGCTCCCTTTAAGATCGCCTTTTTTGCTTGGACATCTGTCTTGGGTAGGATTTTAACCTAAGATGATTTGAGGAGAATGCAGGTGGTTATCAATCGCTGTTACTTGTGTCGTTGCGATGAGGAGACAGTGGATCACCTTCTGTTGCATTGCAGTATGGCCAGAGATTGTTGGGATTTGATGATTGGGTTATTTGGGGTTCCCTGGGTTATGCCCTATTCCTCTAGAGGGTTGATTGAGGCTTGGAGAGGTGTCTCTGTTGGGGCGCTCATCCGGGATGCTTGGAGGGCTACTCCTCTCTGTGTTTGGTGGTGCATTTGGCTCGAGAGGAATCGAAGATATTTCGATGGCAAGGAGAAACCCATTTCTATGCTTAAGTTTTCTATTATTTCTACTCTTTTTTGTTGGGTCTCAGGGAGAGATTATCGTTTTGTTGAGGAGAATGTTAATTTTGTTGGCCTCTTTGAAGGCTTGAGGCTCTTTATGGGTTTTTCATCTTGTTTCCTTGGGTTTCGCTCCCCTTTGAGCGCTTTTTTATAAAATTCTTACTTATCAAAAAAAAAAAAAAGAATGCTTCCGTGAGCGGCACACCACGCAAAAAAATCCACCTTCAAGGGGGCTTTCAACCTCCATATTGCACCCGTTTTCGTTATAATTGGTAACAACAAAATCTTCTTTACATTTTTTTTTTTTTTTCAAATACCAACATTTTATACTTCAGTATCTGAATCTAAAATAACCATCTTATTGAGGCAACATTTTTCCCCCGCCCAGAACATTGCAAAAAAAACATCACAACAGAGTGCACACCTTTATCACCCATAAAAAACATATTTATGAATCCATAAATACATAGGAAAACATAAGACAAAAATTGATATTTCTTTTTTAGCATACAAATGCGTAGAACAAGGTTCAGTGGCCCTAATAATACACAAAGCGTGCTATATGGTGTTAATTTTTTCCAGATCCCTTGATATTGTTGGGTTTTCTTGTTGCAGATAAAGCAGGAGTCATACGAATATGTAGTCAAATTGTGCTTCTTGTAGACTTTTTCTGGTGGTAAATCTAGTTACATGGAAAAGTAAGAGAGAATTTTGTGGCTTGATAAAGTGCGGAGACATTTTTTTTTTTTATAAGTAAGATTTTATAAAAGGCACACAAAAGGGGAGAGCTCCCAAATAAGACAGCAAGCGTCCAAGACAAACACTATAACTTTAAGCTACCCACAAAATCCAAATGACATTCCATTGAATTACAATCCCGCCCATTAATCCAAAAGAATAAAGTATACTATATTTAATAGCCCATATAATATATGAGATGATGGCAATGTTATCTAGCAATAAAATTGAAATTGTATATTGTTAACAATCCATTATTTATCAGTAAGCCCTCAGCTCAAGTATATTCCTTCCTCCTGTGTGGAAGGTTGAGGTTCAAGTCTATAGGGGACAATAATGGGTGGGTGTATGAGTTTTGTACGTGAGTAACTTACCTACCAAAAGATAATAATAATACATAGTAATATTCATAATAAGATGAAAAATGTAAAAGTTGATTCTTATAAGAAGAAATAAAAATGCCAGAAGAGTAGTTAGATGTGTGTTTACATGGTCGTTTAAAAAAGGGATGTTTTCTTTGTTATATGCAACAATAGACATGATAGATTTCTATTCCCCAGCTTGAAGGGAGAGCTTTGAACCAAGCCATCTTGTGTCTTGCTGGGTAACATGCTATGTTTCACACTTGATGGCAAGGGTTCAAGGCTTGGTAGATGATGAAGATGAAAGGGGAGCTTTGAGAAAATATAAGGGAAGAAATAATCTAGTTTTACTTTTATGAGCAACAGCATAAATCAAAAGGAGCAATGGCAATTCAGTTTTGGCTCTCTCACATATATTTTCTTTTTCTCTTGTGTCTCTCCCTCTTATTTATACTAGCTACTTGTAAGTATACAATAAATTTTTTCCCCTCAAGTACAAGTATTGAATGACAGTGTAAACAAGAAGATCGATTAAAATAGGTAAGTTTTATAGGGAACAGTATACATAAACCACCAGAACTAACTATAAAGCCAAAACTGAATAAGTGGGCTCAAGCTCTATGCTAGGTTTTCAACCTTCAATGCTGTAACACCAAAAGGCAGCAAAAGAGAAGCCTCTACACCTCAAGAAATACATCAATTTATTTCTATCCCAGACCAAAATATAGCCAAAACACTTTATTTTCACATCCAATGGACCGAGGGATACCATTTCTCAAAAAAAAAAAAAAGAAGTACGAATTCTGAGTGCATTTTCCAAAAAAGCAAAAACCACAACGCGTCAAAACACTCATCTACAGACTGGCATTTAAATAAGAAACATTGCTCTATAACACAAAACTGGCATTTCAAGGAGATTACTCATACATGGTACCTCTTGCAAGGAGATTCTAAGTAATAAAGAGCCTAACAAAATACAGTTACTGACCAGATGACCATTAATACATTTTTGCTTCTTTAATGCATAAAATTAACAAATTCTTATTATACATGAAACTAATAAAGCGAAAATGCCTTCATGTAACACAAAACTTAAACTGAATAGTGATACATTATTGCATTCATAACATAGAATTTATGCTAAGGTAGGCAAGGAAAAAGTGGACATCAGAAGGTAACTGTTACTTAAAATAAATGAGCAATGATAAATTTGTTTTCAAGTTACCAGGAAGAACTTTGAAGCAGGAGGTTAAAGTGATGAAGAAACTAATGTGGTCTGTAATCTGGATATGTCCAGCTTTATAGGCTGAATGCAAAACCTCTATGATTCGAAATAATACAAACGGTTCCAAGTCATGACCTGAGAATGAATTGGCAAGAAAGGAAATGAGAATGTCATAAGTTTATACAGATATGATAGATATGTGGCAATTAAATATTTTTTAATTCAGAGACACCGCTATCAACAAAAAACTGTCCCTATGTGATGATGTTTTCATCAATCACAATAGTTAAAAAGATAAAGATGCATAATTGCCTTCTCTGACTCGTCAAACCATGTTCATCATGGCACAAACCGTTTGCCAAAGAAGTAAACCATTAAGGGACAGTCTGACACCTACCTTCGCGTTAGTAAGCTAGCCAGACCTTTCTAAGGACAAGTGAAGCTGAATAATACTAGGTGAACAAATATGATAGTGCCCTGTGCGTTAGCTAATATTCTCACCAAACCTCTCCAAGAGCAATAGTTCACTATAGCTTTTACATCCAGGGTTCAGGACCTCTGCATTTCGACACTGTCCAATGATCGGACAAAGGATTCCTCTTCAACAACTTCAGACCCATCCTCGGAGATGTCAAGGTTTACCGGTCGTCCAACTGAGCCTTGCGCAAAAGACCCAAGGAACTGTAATCAGCGTCCAGGTCTGAATAGAAGCAGGCCCGAAGAAGGAATGGTCACTTCCGAAAAGTAATCCATCCTGGCAGTACAGGATATCATCTCAGAAGGCTTTTGAGAAGTCCTTGCTGTTTTCTCCACCTAGAGAGAAGTTATTACAGCTCCCTCACAGGAACAATATCCAAGGACACTGAATCCCGCACATGTATGAATCATCACAAATGCTTTGTCACAGGCTAAACACACATGACTTCAGAACAAGTGATCAAGGTGAGGGCATCTCTGCTGCACAACTCCATGATCACATAGGATTACAACTTCAGGGAGCTTGACCGCACCACTCTCTAACTTTTTCCCCATAACACATTCTAATCAGACAGCCCCCATGCACATGGAGGAATCCCACTAGACTGCAGTAGGGACATACAGCATTACTTCATGAGAATTCCACATCAGCAAAAACACCGTCTTACTATTGCTCTTGAACTATAAATGAACTTCTACTATACAATTAAGACAGTCTTCTGAACCAAAAATAGCCCTCTAGAAAATATAATACCACACTGAAGAGCCTCGAGAATGTTGACTAGACCTCAACCCCTTTAGAATTGAAACAGACTAGGACCACACCTCAACTTGGTGGAGTTTGTGGTGCATTTCATATTGCTACTCTCTTTCACTCTTTTTTACAAGTTAGTCTCAACTTCTACCTAACTAGTCCAATGTATTACATGCAATACCTCCATTTTTAGCAAGAAGTAACATTATATAACGACTACACTGGATATCACTCTCGCAATAGGTAGATAGAAGAAAATGCAACAAGGACAACATTGCCAAAGTTTTACTAGCATCAGTAATCTTCAATAAACCAAAACAATTATCCTAGATGGTAGAGGACCTCTTGTGACCTTATTGCAGACATGCAATCACAGAGGGTTGAAAATGAATTGGGTTGTTGTCATGTTGATGAAGAACTCAAGCTCATCACTAAAAAGCCCAGCCCATGTTCCAGCATTAACAGGAGATGAGTTCGAGCTCATATTCAAGACTCATATCCCCAAAAATAAAGTCATGAAGGAGATGATTTAGTCCAAGCAAGCCTTGCAGAAACATGGAAAAGGAGGTGATGTAGTTAAGCTAGATTAAGAATTTGTTTGGTAGGGAGGATGAATGGAAGGAAGATGGGAGAAGGATTTTCTTTTCTTTGGTAGTGGGAAGGAGGGAATCAAAAAGGAAGAGGGCAGCCCCTTTCCACGCACCCACCATATCCCTTCCTTCCAGAGGAGGAGGGAGCAATTTTCTTCATTCTTTTTATTTATTCATTTATTATTTTTATTTTTTAACATTTTACCCTTCCAAAAAAGTCTCCTTCCTAATTATGAAATGTGTATAATGTTCAAATCACATAACACTCCTTCAAATCCTTTCTAAATAAATTCCTGCTTAACCATAAAACACGACACAAGGGCAAGTCTCCTTCCTTTCCCTAAAAATACCTATTCCATCCATACTACTTTACCATCCTTTGAATTTTCCATTCTCCATAGCAAACGAAGAATAAAGGTGCTCCAGTAATTTAACGAAGAAAGCCCATCGCAGCAAAGATTGTGGAAAATATAAACATCAAACTAACCCATTTTTAGTACTGAGATATGTATCAAATGTTTCACAATCAAAATTAGGTTACAAATACAACAAGAGAAACTTATACTGCATTGAATATAATGTAGAATGAAACTAATGAAGCTTTAAGCAGTAGACATGTCGTACTCACATAAGCAACATAAAGCTAGTGACTTAAGCAGCAGAGAGTCCAACAAAGAGAAATAGGAAAGGCAACAAACAGAGAGTTCCTGAGAATCTCTGGACAGCCTTATGAAAGGACCGTAACATATAGTTCCTGCAATATAGAGAAGTGTATAACCAATAAGCCAATTAATGGTGCCCAGATGTAATATAACCGATAGAAAAAAATTCTACTTCTAAGTCTTACTTTCATCTAGGCATGAACTATAAAATTCTCTTAATGAGTACTGCATGTTGTCATATTCCTGTATGAAGGAAGAGTTCAACGGAGCACATTGTCCCAAGCGAAGTAGAAGATGAAACACAACCTGCCAGAAGAATTGTCACAAGGGAAAAGATACCCGTCTGATGATGACTGGAGTTTAAAATCAAATCTAAGGACCTGGGAATCTAAGATTCTACACCGTGATTGTCTACTATTTTAACATTCTAGAAAGGGTGCCTAAAAAAATATTTTAAAATAAAACAAATCAATACCTTGGAAGCCGATGGGTGCCTATCATCCAACAGGATTAGCAGCAAAGGAAGCTCTCTTATCCAAGTTATCTGATAGTCCAGAATTTCTGGATCACTACTATCAAGGTACGGCAAGTTTTGTCCCTGTGATTTGCACAGCAATTTGGGATCAGAATGAGAAGGAGAAACAAATAAAGAAAGAGATAATCCTTTTCCTGTTTCTTTTTTTTTTTTCCTTTTTTTGGATGGGAGCAGACAAATGATGCATTTCTATCCCCAAAAAAAGTAAAAAGTAAGAGAGAGGATGTGAGCTTCATATTGTTTGCATGACAACACCCATGTGATGGACCCTAACCACCCATTGCCACCTGCCCTTCCAGGGTGGGGAAAAAAAGAAGGTAGCAGAGACAATAGGAGACTATTGCTTCAGAGCAAATGATACGCAATCATGTAGAATTCATGCTGAAGTAAAAAACCAAGAGCTTACAGGAACTAGCATTTCTTCTATTGCAGAAAGGCAAGCCAATTTTAGAGCAGACTCTGGATTGCAACTCTTGAAAACGTTAGTAAAAGCCTGCAATCAAATTCTCAATTAATCAAAAATTATGATCAAGGGAATTCAGAGTTCTGGAAAAGCTCCAATATCTTTACAGACTAAAGTTAGAACACTGATAACCAAAGCTGTTGAGCAAACAGAGAGCACAAATGAGAGAAAGTAAATTGCCCAAGGACAAGCCCTTAATTATTTCTAGGAATGCTGTATCTAACCTGAAGAATACGAGACCTCCAATTTCCTACAACTTGCAGTACAAGTTTTGGGAGAAAAGAAGTAAGTGAAACTAACTGCTTTTCGAATGCTTTAACAGAATGTGTGCTGCTGTACACCTGCAACAGGTATGTCATCTTTTAAAGGATATATAACATGAGACATTGGAACATGTAAAGTATAAATTGTAAAATTTAGAGCAGTAAATCTAAAGAATAGATAAATGTAGAAAATAAAAATAAATCAATAAAAATTCTTAAGTTTAAATGTTTTACCAAGATAGTTATGCATCATCGATTCAGATTAAGAAAACATCAAATTTTCAGAAAAATCTGGGTTCTGTTTTCTATTTTTGTTCTCTTCTTTTTAAAAAAGTCAAATTTTTTCCCCCCAAAAAAGTCAATTTGAAAGGGTCAATAATAATGTTTAAAAATTAACAAATAAAAAACCATGGGTCATTTGAAGATGCAGATGTTAACCAGAACAAAGGGTTATTCTGAATCGCATATAGAAAGTACTTGGGACCATTAGTAATCAAGTTTTGATCTTTTTTCACTTTTATTATATGTTCCCAACAGATTAGTTTTGCATCTGAGTTCTAATTTAATATTTAATACTTCATATACTTTATAGTGCCAAGGGTACATCAAGAAATTCCATACTTTCTGGGTTTGGGAATTTTGGGGCCCATGATTTCCCTTTTACTACAAGTTGGTTATAAGTAGGCCAGTGCGCCTTTATGTGCGGCCAAAACTACATTTAGATAGTTGTATAAGTCTTAAATCTAGAACTTCATAGTTTTAGAATCCTATTCCTGGAACAAAACTCTTATCTTAAGACAATGCCTGGCAGATTCCAGACGAGATTCCAAATATATTCTCATCTATAATTTATCAGTTACAGATTGTATAGTTTTAACTACAATAATTTCACATTTTCTTTATTTCATCCTAAATCTTTATTGCTTTAACCATGAGGTCCAAAATCCATTTCCTACCCTAAAGAATTTTTCTATGCATGCAACACCTTAAATGAGTTACCGTCCAGAAACTCCAGTAATCTACATTATGAAGTTCCAGCAACAAAACCCCAACAAATCCAACCTTGCTAAAAACATTTTCCTCTATATAGTGTAAAATCCACTTTCCATCTCTTTTACTTTCAGCAAACACATTTACCATAACCTTAGCTACATGCAGCATTGTCAGTTCAGGAATACACAACGAATATAATATATAAATTTATGGTTCTACTAACTCAATTCAATTCCCACATTGAATTTGTATCTTGCCAGGAGATTCTATACATTGAATGATTGCACATAAAAAACATCTAAGCCCATGCAATTTCTATAAATTCTAAGAACACAGAAGTTCAAGGATTACACCTTTTTAGATAGGGCGCTTTCAATGAATTCAAGAAATTTCTCCAGCAAAGCAGTGGGAGGGCAGATACGGTCACTTAAGCGAAGAAAGGTTTCAGTAATTATAACATTCAAGACGAAACATCGATGATCATCCTGCCAACAAAGAAAATAGAACAATTAGAGCAATCCAAGTCACAACAATACACCCTAGGCCTCAGATTAGGTGGTAAAGGGCTGGGGTGGTCTTAGATTTCAGTTCTGGTTAGCAAAGTTAAAAATAAAATAAATAAAAAAGAATACAGGAACAAGAAGCCACAACGAAGAAATTGCATTTAAAAGAATCTTAATGATACCACTGAGAAACTTAAATCCCTCATGGAGGAGAAATTTTACATCAGATTAGATATGCCCCAAATTGGGAACAGGGCAGTTGTTTTTTAGGCAGTACAACCAAACACCTGAAATTCTAGGATTTGAGAAGTGACAAGATGTTGGTACTACATGTAACCTCCATACATGTGTTAATCCATGTCATAAGGATGTCACATCATGTTTCACCGTAGGTTGAACAATTAAAATATGAGCCAACCTGACTTGAATACTGGAAGCTCAGCTTCAAAAGTTATCAAGCTCCAAACTTGTTGACTATAGCTCAATTCTCTTGCAAAGGAATTCAATAAGCTTCTATGGGAGTTGGACTGAGATCAAGATTGAAACTCAGAAAACTTTAAGAAAAAGCTTGGCTCATTTGCCAAAGAAAAATCCAATTGACACAGCATTAACTCGAGATTCGCAATTCATTTGGCAGCATGATTAACACGTCATGTCAAAAGTCTATATATTTTCAAATGGAAATTACAGCATATGGCAAAATTTAAATGCTCAATATCTAGAAGAGTCTAATGCCTATTAACTTTTGAGAACACTGTCCAGGACCTAGACCAAGACACACAATACATGTATTCACATACACACAGTTTGAAGAAAAGCCCGTAGGTGCACCTAACCTCTGGCACTACTCACATGCTAAAATCAAATTTATAGTTTATAATGTTGGACCGCTATTAAACCACTTTTCATAAAATGGGTGTACTAGAAATACAAATGGTGAAATAGAAATGTGGTAAAAACGAAAGGATAACTTAGAAATTTATACAGTTGTGCGTTGTTGAAATAGAACTAAATGGAGATTAAACAAGAGAATCAGCTAAGATGGTTTGGCCATAGATCCTTAGGTAATGTTAGAGGAAGGGGGAAGTCAAAAGTAACATTGACAAGGGAAAAATATGATTGCATGTGGTTTAACTGAGGTTATGGATTTATAGATAGAGTGGAATGGAAATTTTTTATTCATGTCAACGGCCCCATATAGTTGGAAAAAAGCTTTGATGAGCGGAATTGAGTTGCATGTTTGGTTGACAAACTAAAAAGAAAAATAAGATTTGAAGGTAATAAATAAAAGATCTTAGGTCATTACAGAAAAAATTACATAAGGATACCATATCATGATTAGCAAAAACATTAATCTGTTCAAAGCAAATGAGATGGCTTTGAATAAACACCAAGATCATACCTTTTCTGGAAGGTGATGCAGCGAGTTGAGGGGGAATACATCAAATAACTTCTTCAACAATACGGGTGATACAGTTTGACCCCACGTGGTTATGCCAGGTCCTTCATGAGGAGGTTTAGAAGCTCGTAACTGTTGCTGACTCTCACCAATTCCGTAAACAAAAAACCTGACTACAAGATCTATACTCTGAAGTATAAATAACATACAATCAAATGATTGTGCATCAAGCAGTGGCATGGCGTGAACCAAGGGAACAAAATCCTGGAAACAACTAACTAGAACGGGGATAAGGTCCTTTAGTTTCTGGGTGATGGTAGAATACCCTACAAAAGAAAGATAGCAATGGGAGACAATTAAACCAATATTTACCATAATATGAGAAAAACGAAGTGGAAAAACCGTCATAATATTACCATATATTAATATCATGTGCTGTGATAAAATATGAACACAAATTGTCTATTCATTTTCAAGTTGGTGGGTGGGTGGATTGATGTGGGGAATGGGGGTTATAGTACCAAGGACCATCTATAGGATCACACGTCATGCTTGAACCCAAGTGCACAAAGAGCAGATCCTTCAGAATATGACTTAACAGGTTAGAGAACACATTACTTGAAGTTTTTCAAGAATATTCCATGCTAAGTTGCATTACTTGAAACCTAGAGCCAGGGTTACCATAGTGGAGAATGCCAAGCTACAGCGAGTAACGAATGGAATGTCCTAAAATATTTCAGGGCCCAAAATCCAACAATCATCTAGAAATGAAGAGAAGAGAACCCAATTCCGAAAGAACCAAATATTGAGAACCGTTACTCTCTAACCTTCTTCATTAATGAATTGCTCGAAGTAAAGGCAGTAAGATCACCCCAAGGAGTTGGCTCAAGTGGATAAGAATTTGGCCCTGGTGCCTCATGAAGCATCGGGTCTAAGGTTCGAATCCTCTTGGGTGCAAACAATTAGGTTTTTTTTTTCTTTTTTTGGGGGGGGTTGGTTGTGAGTACCAACTAGGGGGAAAAAAAAGGCAGTAAGATCCAATGGAAACTTTACGGATCTAAAAGGCGAAAAACTAAGAGATTGAGGAAGGAAACTAGATGGATCTAAAAGCTACAAACCAAAGTTTTTGGATTAGAGCAGCCAAGAGAATCATTATTAATCATATTAAGTAACCAAAAGAGAGAGAGAGAGAAGAAAAGAAATGAGGTGGACTCTGCAGAAATTGGTTTCCACTGATGCAGGACCTTCAGAAATTTAGCAATTAAGGGGGCTTCCCGGTTAAATGTTTGCATAGTACAGTAAATGAATGTGTTAGAATCAGTAGAAAAGGGTTTCGCAGAAGAAATTATGGTTTATGAAGACAGTTTTAAGTACTAAAAGTGCGTTTTTACAGGGAATGGTGGGACCGTACATGGTGTATGATCTATCAGGTTTTAAATTGGCTGGAAAACTGAACAAGCTTCAGAAGGATATGTAGAAATGGAACAAGGAGGTTCTCCGTGGGGTGGACCTATCTCAGCAGAAATCAAGAGATCGATGAGACTGAAAGGAAATGAGCTTTGACAAGAAAAGGAAGACTTAGAAGGGAACAGAAAAAGGGCGGGATGGGAAAACGTTTGATAACAGAATAAATGTTTTGGATTCAAAAGTCTGGATCTTTTTGGTTTAACGGGCAGAAAAGGAAGCGAAGTTCTTCCATCAAACTTCCATCAGATGGTGAATGCCCATAGAAATACAATTCATATTGCCTAATATTAAATGCAAATTATGGAGAAAGATTGGCTTGAGAAGCCTTCAAGAAGAGGTGGTCGAGGCTGTAAAGAGTACTAACGGGTACAAGGCTCCTGCCTCAGGTGGCATGACTATGATTTCTTTAAATGCCGTTGGACTGTAGCTAGGGAGGATGAGATGTCCTTCATGCATTTCTTATAACGGCGTGTGACTTTCTCTGACACTTGATGCATCCTTCATATGTTTCCATCATAAGAAACAAGAAGCAACAATAATCAGGGATTTCAGATCTCAGCTTGGTGGGGAGTGTGTGCAAGTTATTGATCATAGCAGTCTTTGAGGCTCAGATGAGTGGTAAACGGAAATATCAGAAGACCCATAATTATTTTGTTCGGGACAGTCAAATATTGAAAGCAAATTTTAGTGGCTTAAGTTATAGACTCGGAGCTGAGAAATGATGAGCTAGGGGTCCTTTGCAAGTTACAAAGGACTTCAAATAATTCATCTCCAATGCTAAATGAGTCCTCTTCGAATCCAAATCCATCCATCACCAAAGGAATAAGGAATGAAGTCACTTCTTCATCCACTCCTATCCTTGAGACTGCATATAAGCCCAAAGCTCCATTCCCTCAACGTCTCATGGAACCTTCCTATTTTGGGAAACAAGGAGAGAAAATTCAAGAAATGATGGAAGTCTTCAAACAAGTGAAAATCAATCTACCTATACAAAGTTTCTGAAGGACTCGTGCACCCAAAAGCGCAAATCAAAAAGTCAAGTCCCTAAAAAAATCTCTCTTACCGAACAAGTGAGTGCCATAATTCAACATAACACTCCTCCAAAATTCAAGGATTCTGTCCTACAATTTCCTGTTTCATTGGAAACAATGAGATAGAGAGAGCTCTCCTTGACCTAGGAGCTAGTGTTAATCTCCTTCCTTACTCGGTCTATTTGTAATTGAGCTTGGGACAGCTTAAGCAACCATATGGGATCATTGAAGATATGCTCATTAAAGTGGACAAGTTCTACTTTCCGGTTGACTTCCTACTTCTTGACACAGATCTTGTCCACAATCCCAAAAGGCACATACCCGTCATCCTTGGTCGTCCTTTCTTAGCCACAACAAATGCTTGCATTAACTGTAGGACCAGGGCTATGGATATTTATTTTGGGAACATGAAGATAAAGTTGAACATCTTCAATGCTACTCCACATTACCACGATGAGAGTGAGTGTTTCCTCCTTGATGTCATTGATGAATTGGTTAAGGATTCACTCCCAGTTTTCTGCAAAAGAGCCTCTTCCATTGATATCATGTACTCCTCTAATTCCTTCTCTTAAGTCTACTCATAAAATTGAGCTTAAGCCACCACCGGATAAGCTTAAGTATGTTTTCTTGGGTCCCAATAGAACTATACCGGTTCTTTTTGCTACAAATTTTAATGCCCAAGAGAGTAATATGTCGAGTGTGCTTCAAGAGCACACAAAGGCCATTGTGATGAAGGAGGTAGTCGAGTTGTTGGATGCGGGCTAGAGAGTGGCATTCCGTCTTGCTAGAGACGTTAAACTTAGCACCCATGGGACACATTGTGTCTTATTTGTAATTGTAGTAATCTTGTCTTGTCTTAATAAAAATAAAAAATAAAATTCATTTTGATTTTGTAGTTTTTAGTTATTTTCTATTTTGTTTGTCATGACTCTTTATTCTATGTGCATGCGATTTTGTGATGTAGTTTCATAATCTTTGGGGACTTGTTGACTCTCACGTGGTGGTGTCTAGTTGCTTTCTTTGACAGGTTGTTGCATTCAAGTTTTGGGGGAGACCGCCTTGCTTGACAATTTCCTGTGCCTTGATGGTTTGCTTTATGTGACATTCATCACTGCTATGGTAATATTGTTCTAACCCTTCTGATATTTTTGTTCTCAATGCACATTGTGGACAATGTATGGTTCAAGTTTAGGGGTAAAACAATGCATTAAAATTTTCAGTCTCTCTTTTTGAGATTGCATGTGTATATGAGTATTAGTAATTGTTAGCCATGATTTTGTGCCAGTGAAGTGAGTTTGGTATCTCATAATAGTTTTCCAATGATTAATACATCATGTATGTGGAATAGTGCCATTTTCGGGGTAATTTAAAATTTTTGACCTCATGTCTAGACATAGTTGTACACATAATTGATCTTTTTAGCTATCTTATAATTGTCAACTTTTAAAGGACTTCACTTTGCACAAGAGCACACTTGCATCTATTTTGTGAGGTACAAACTTGATATCTTGCTACATTGTGTAATTGACTGATATGAGTTAGTGAACTTTGAAAATTTGATAACTTGGACATAATTGTAATTAAGTATGCAAGAATAGGTCGCCCTTTTCACCGAGTAACTCGGACTCTTGCCTCAGTAAGCATTGAAGATTCACGTCAAAAGGTGAAGGGTATAGGATAAACGAAAAAAAGCTTACGAGTTAGTTTGGATTCGTAGCGTGGTTGACTCAAGTGATTAAGTCCTTTGGGGTGTCTCTACACCTAATGTCCTAAAACTACCTGGTTTGGGAGTCATTTACCTAAAGCTTGTTACAAGGGTCTTCTAGAGAGCTTAATGGATCTAGACATTGCACGAAACTCTTAAAAAAAATTGATGAAAAGAGTGTTAGAAAAAAATAATAAAAAAAGAAATTGAAAAAAAATGCATACAAGTGTCAAATATAATCCTTGTGCCTTGGAAGTTATTTTTGAAGAGAGATGCTAGCGTCAGTCAACTAAGGCGACTGACACTAACAGTTGAGTGACGTGTTAGCATTTTATTGGTCCCTGATTTTTATCATTTTTTATTTTTTTGTTTTTAGGGCCGGTCTCTTTATGTTTATGTTTATTTTATTATTTTTGTTGTTCCGTTTCGGCCTGTTGGCTCTTCTTCTCCCTCTCACGCTGTTCTCTTTCTCTCACTACGTGCAAGTCGCAGACCCAAAATTCCCCTTCTTCCCTTTCACTCACCAGCGGGCAAAGAACCGGCTGTCCAAGCCGCCGGCAACATCGTGAAGTCGTCCCAGAATTCACCACCATCCCACCTTTACCTCCTATATCAACCTGAGAGAAGGTGGAGAGCTGAGCCGGCAAGGAGAGGAGTCCACGGTCGAACCCGGCAACGCCGATGGGCTTGGCAAGGGCGGAGTGAGTGCAGCCGAAGGTGAAGTTCCGGCGAGGGCATCGAGCCATGGCACAGAGATCGGAGAAGGGAAGAGAAGAGTGGTCGGCGGCTTATACGGCCGGTTCTTCGCCCGCCAGTGAGTAGAGAGAGAGAGGCTGAGAGTAAAGAGAGAAGAAGTGTTTTGGGGTTAGGAAGTAGGGGAAGAAGAAGGGGAATTTTGGGTCTACAAAATATTGGGTTTTGGGTTTGGAGGCAGATTGTGATGAAGGTGAAAGTGATGGTGAAGGAAAAGGAGAACAGGGTGAGAGACAGAGAGAGGAAGGAATGGTTCAGCGGCGTAATAAAGCCACGACGAAGGTGTAGGACTCAAGCGACTGTTGGGGCTTTGATGATCCGAAAACCCAGAAATAAACCATGGCGATGAGGGCAAGGTTTTTGGGTTTGCAAATATGGATCTGCAAATAGGAAAAAGGGGAAGAATGGGAATTTGGATCTGCAAATATGGGGGTTTTCTTCCAATGTGCTACCTGGACCAGGTGGAGGGGAAGATGAGGAAGCCAAGGCTAGGGAGAAGAAGGTCGGCGGATAGATTCTTCGCCGCCGGTGACTTGGACATAGAGAGAAAGAGAGAAGGGGGAGAGAGAGAAGAAGAACCGACGGAAGAACAAAAAAATAATAAAAAGTAAACTAAAAGGCACCGGCTCGAAAAATTGAAAGTACAAAAATTAGTAAAAGTCAGCAGCCTTAGGCAGCTGACACATTGTGCGACTGTTGGTGACAGTCGCCTTAGGCGACTGCCGCTAGCATCCCTCATTTTTGAAAAAGATTGCTAATGAATTGATGGATGTTATGGAATGTATGTGAGAATGGACGGTAAGCCACATAAATGGGTGTTGGTTCACTACTAAGGATGATAGAGTTAATTATTATTTGATATGTGGATTCGAGCTTTCTGTGGGGACCATTATTGTTGTGCATGATGTATGAAAGTTTGAGGTGATTTCTGGATACGCAAAATCTACATGTTGTAATCTTCTCTTCGATGATTGTTGGGATACCTTTGCTTGCTAAATAGGTGATAAATGAGCTAAGTGTAGGATTGCTACACAAATTTTGGAGGTTTGTGGGTATCATCTCTGAAAACCCTCACGAGGCTATAACTCATCCGCTAGGGGTAACTTAGGGGTTTAAAGGCTTGTTGCATATGCTAAATGCAATCGTGATTCCCACGAAAGATGCTGTTTTGTTTTTGTTTTTGTTTAGTTTTGTATTGCGAATAGACTAGCAATATGTAACTTTTGGGGTGTGATAAGCACTGAATATTGCATAGTCGAGCCCTTAAACAAGCATATGTTATCTCCTTAAATCTCGATTCTTATGATTGTTTTTGTTTATTTGCTTTTTGTAGGTTTTTACCCAAGGAGACGAACAATTCCATGGATTTAAAGCTTATAACGATGTTCCCGATGCTCAAGGAGAAGTTCTAAGCTTTTCAAGTTAACTTTGGGTGCAACTGGGATGATTTGAAGCAAAATGACCCTCAAAGCTCGAGCATTGCTTCCTAGTGCTCGAGCACTTATCAAAGAAGAATGAAGAAAAATGGCTATGTATCAAAAGCTCAAGCACGAAGGTCCAAGGCTCAAGCATTCTTGAGCACAATTGCTCTCGGAAAGATGAAAAGACGCCATGGATTCTCGTTTAAAAGAGCTCGAGCTCTCAACCCTAGAGCTCGAGCATTAGAGTGGAAGCTCGAGCACTGGCTAAAATGCTCGAGCACAAGGAGAAAAACTCGAGCACTGAAGAAAATACTCAAGCACTAAACACCCAGAAGTTTCCAAAAGTTGTGGGAAAGTTGTAAAAATCTTCTTTGATTCCTTATGGGCCTAATTGTCCATAACAGCTGTGAAACCCATCCAAGGGGGATTAGGACTTGATCTCCACTATAAAAGAAGAAGAGAAGACACAAGGAAAATCGACTTGGCGGCTTAGGGTTTTGGAGTTCTCATTGAAGATTGAAGAAGAAGATTCCAAGGAGAATTGCGGTCCATGGAGAAGATTTTTGCAACAATAACGATGATATCTTCCTTCTCCATGAGTAACTAAATCTTCTCTTAGGACATTGAAGTAAACCTAGCCGAGTAGCATGGTTTGATTGTTCTTAACTTTGGGGTTTTTTCTGGATTATGTATATTGATTGCATGGTTGTGAGCAATTGACTTAGTTGTGCTAAGCAAATGATTATAATCATTTTTAATGAAATTAATCTCTTGCCTTAGAATTGTTTTATTATAATTGAATTCAAACTTCTCTTATTTTCTGTGATTATAGGAGTAGTGGTCATGCAATGGTGTTTAACGAATGTGTGAATGAATGTTTTGATAATTCATGCCTAGGGAAGACGAGTTGTACTACACCCTAGATTAGAGTAGTTAGGTAGACAATTCGTGCAAACCGAAGATGACTTACGGCTTAGTATTCATTCATATATACCATCTTAATTGAATTAAAGTGTACTTGTAGCCACTTGGTTCCCGAATATACGTAAGGATGAATTCCCCATAGTTGAGACAATTGACTATGTTATGAGGCTAGTGATGAAGTCAATCCCTAAGTTCCCTTTCTTCTTGATACCTATTATTCCATAACTTAGTTTAATTTCAGCAATCTTTAATTTCTTTGCAATTTAGAAGTAGCAAAACACCAATCAATCTCTCTCTTGAATCAAATTGGAACCAATTTCATACTTAACAATACCAACACAGTCCTTGAGATTTGACACCCTCTTAATAGCCCTATCCTATAAGGATTCGTACTATTGCGAGGTCTTTTATTATTGACACACATCAACAATACGACCTTTTTAATAACTTATTTAACCCGTTTAAATTAAATAGCAAGTAACTTTAATAATTTATTTAACCCGTTAAATTAAATAGACACATAACCCGTTTATTAATCTTTTATTTAAGTATAATACGAATATATGATGAAAAAAATTGATATAATTGATGACCAAATTCATTAAACAGGTACAATGTCATTTCACTTACCAGCAGAATCTTTACACTGATCAGGCTCAAAAGAATGCAAAATTTCCCGGGCATTAGCTTCCTATTAAAATTAAATTAAGAAACAAAAAACAATGATAACTACCAAAAAAAAAACGTGCCTGAAAGTAGAGAGGCAAAAGACTGAATAAGCAGGAGAAATGCACCATAATTTTACAGAAAATACACTTAAGTAGGGAACAACTTATGAGTAGTTATATAATAATAACAATAACAATGATAATCTTGTTAAGAGAAGTTTTTACCATAACCTTACTGAAAAAACCATACCCAAAAAAAAAAAAAGACCGAGGAACTACCACTTTGACATGAGGAGAAAACAAAGATGCCACTACCATATGGCATACTGTTACTTATTCAATCTCTCCACAAACCTTATATCAAATTATTCAAATTTTTGAAGCAAGATCTTAACGTATCTGAACCCCAGATTGAATCAGCAAGTGAATTAGTTAGAGAAAACTTATCCAGATTCACTAAGTTTCAATTATTTTTCATCCAAGCAATAAATATCATGAATAATGGAGTCAACCATCTATTCCAAATCTGAAACTTACACGTGATTCATTCATCCTAAATCATAAACAAGCTGCACTTAGGGCACCACTTTGCTCAGGGAAACCAAAAAGGAGAGCTTCAAAAGCAAATTATAGTCAACCTGAGGATCTCAAGATCCTAAACTAACAGTTACTAATATCTTAAAAAGTTATAATAATGACAATTACCAATAATTAAAATAACAATAATAGAGAACTAAATAAATAAAGAACTTTCAACTGTGAGACGAAAAACATGATACTAAGGCTAAAATGCAAGCCTCTGAAAACTCTCCATGGAACACATTAAATACCAAGAGATGATAATATATATATATATATATATATTGCACGAGACTAAATGATACTTTTGGTATTGGTAAATAGAAGGTACTTTTTCACTTGATGTGTTATCTCCTCTCATATTACATGGCAAAATCGACAAGCACCGCACCAACCCAACAAGAGCACCCTTAAGCTTGCCTTTGTCCTGTAAATAGAACTGGTTCTTCCGCAAAATATCTTCATAGTTCTGAAGAATCTGTGATGGAAATAACAAATGAAAGAACTACCTTAGACATGAAACAAAACATGAAGCAAAACGAATAGCACTAATATAGAATTAAAACATCACTTTGAAACATACTAGTTGCCATCTTGGACTAAAAGGTGAAAGAAGGGAAAGGAAAACAGGATTTATGAAAATATATATAAATTTTCATCACATTACAGGCAATAGCAAATAAAGCAATAATGGCAGTTAAAGTTTTGAAATAATTTAAGAATAAGTACCTGCCCCACCTACTAAAAGAACAAGTATTTGTTTTAGAGGTGATGAATCAAACACATGACAAAGACAAACACATAGATTAATTATTATTGAGTTGAAACTCAAGTATGCATCTGACTAAGTAAATCACATAGCTTGGTGCCTCTTTGGCAAACCATCAATATATGGCAGAAATGCCATGCTATGTAAATGCAACTAATACATAAATTACAACATCTCACAAAGAGAAACAACATTAGCTACCTTTTCGGCATGTAAAGAAAATGAGGATGGGTAATGCTGGACAACAAGGTCAAAGAATTTGAAAGCCATCAACCGAACATCAACTGCCAAATGTGTCATTGCATTAAAAATGTATGACATCATCAAGGAAATGAAAGGCCCTTGATTATCCTGGAAAAAAAACAGAGGATCATTTACTTCCAACAATTGGAGACATCAAAGATAATAATCACATGGAAAGAAGGGAATGTGCTTCCAAAATGCATATATACTCATAAGAATTGCAAGGATGATGAAACAAGTACAGACCATAAAGCACAATTCTTAATTAAAAGAATTCAACAATTATATTTATGAAAAGAAAAGGGTTCAGTTCACCTCACTTCACCCAATTCAGAACTTCTTAGCAAATCCATTCCTTCACATGCGATTGATACATCCCACCCCATCAACTTGTATTCCGTCCCTTCTAATCATTGTTTGAACTTAAGAACAACCACTTACAACTGATAAGCTCTAAACCTATTTAAAAATATTGGGATATAAAAAGAAATACAGACTACCTTACCAATAAAAGGTAAAGTACACTCATTTTTCACTATTTATAGAAATACTGACTACCTTGCCAATTAAGGGGTAAAGAACTCTCATCTTTCAACACCCCTCCCCCTCCCCCACAAACTTTATATTTAATTAGAAAAGTTGATAATAGGGGTTTCATTGCTACTATGCAAGAGTAATTCGAAAGAACTAATGCACTATATATGCAAATATAGTATGCATTTTCACTGTTTCCTGATTGACAGTCCGTACACCTGTATTTTAATCTAAAAGAGGGAGTGCAGTCAAGAAGCTTTTTGAAATATCCAACTAAAGAATGCTGATATTCCCAGATATTTTTCCAAACAAAACACAACAAACAAAAAAGCCAAAAAAGTAAAAAAGGAATAACATGAGAATTAAGAAATTAAGCCCACATAAAGATAAGTAGGTAATGATCAAACGTGACCAAAATAATAAGGTTATATAGTCTCCTATGTGAGTAAATATAAGGACAGATTAAGACAAAAGGGACCAGTATTCTTTGTTTCCGTTTCTCTTGCCATTAGAGAAGTTTAACCGCCAAAATAAAATGAAAAAAAGAGGAGGAAAAAGAACAACAGGATTGGGCTATATTTCTCATAGGAAAATAAATTAAAAAAATCCAATAATGACACCACGTCGTCCATGGAACCAAATTCTAGGGAATGCATCAAATGAACGAATATTGAAAGTAAATGTAAACATAACCAAAAAACATTTAAATGTAAGAGTAACTAGAACCTCTTTACAGCCAGGGAAAATCACAGACTTAAGAAGTTGATATAGCGTTTCCCGAACTAGTTTATCATCATCACTGATACGTTCACGCAATTTCTCTATCACTGCAAGTTTGTGCAACTTCAGCTCCGCTGGGTATTTAAGGAATATATCCCTAATACCAATCAATGCATCTTGAAAAAAAAAAAAAAAAAAACCACTAAATGTTAATATTTAATTATTCCCAGCCAAAACAAAGGAGAACATCAAATGGGACCTAAATCTAGAAAACAAAGTCAGCAGAGGGGCAATGATTTCAAGCCAATCACTATGCTCAGTCAATAAAGCAATAAAATGGTTGATAATTATATTCATTATTCACAAAAAAAATTTAACTTTTATGGGAAACAAAAGGCTAAGATGGTTACACAAATGATAAGAAGAGTGATAACACTGTTTTCCAAGGATAGAATAGTTAAAACTGTTTTGATGGTAAAAAATAAAACAAGTGGTTTTATTAGGATCAACACAACAGTCATCTAAAATGAATTGTGCCACAAATTTTCTCCAAAAAACCTTAAAAGAGATGTGGACGTAGTGGAAGCAGGAAAAGAGATAAATATCTCACCAAGCAAAAGCTCAAACAAATTATTAAACTGATATATTGTTAATTTCATTCAAGCAGCCTCAACAAGACAAAGGTGAGCCTTATTTATAGCCTAATCTGAACTTGCTCACTAAGGAAAGGAATGCAACTTGCATTCACTTTCATAATGATGCGATCCTCACTTTCTCACATGTCACCTCCTTACTCACTAAGTAAAAGAATGCAATTTGCACTTACTTTCATAATTGTTGGGGCAGCGGAAGTGCACGAACAATGAGGATCCAATAAAAGCCAACAAAGCAATCACGCACAAACACAAGATATACATGGTTCAGCCAAAACTGGCCTACGTCCATGGATGAGAAGAGATTCCACTATGATTCGTAGAGATATTACAACAATAGAATACCAACACCACCACTCCACGAGTCTATTTCCTCGCTACCAGCGTCACCGGTATTTTTCCAACTCTACCAACCTGCATACTACCTGATCAACTCCCTCGCGAGACTACATCTCTCTCAATCTCATAAGCCTCAACTCAAAGCCTATGTATCTATTTAGAGAGTTCCAAACCCAATTATTGGTTGGACAAGGATTACAATCTCTTAGAGGCCAAGACTTGTCAAACAAGAAATTACCAAAAAGAATACAATTCTAAAATAGAAACATAATTAGAATAGGAATTTGAGAAACAAATTCCAACAATCTCCACTTTGGCTCAAATTCCATCCAACCAATCATCACTTCCCATGGCATTGATTAGGACAAATCTTTTGCAACTTCAATCTTGACGTACTCCAGCAAAACTCCGATAGTCCACATTATACGTTGCTCGATCAATCACACCTCCAAGGCTCCACCTGGACTACTCGAGCTCTATGCCATGTAACCAAGTTGATTGACTCCACCTACAACTGAAGCCCGTTACAACACATGTTGAGACTTCTTGTGTTTTCTTAATCTCCTTCACCTTTGGCTCTAATACCAATTTGTTGGGCGTAGCGAAAGCGCGTGAATAAGAAAGTTTTGATGAAAGCCAACAAAGCAATCACACACAAACAAAAGATATACATGGTTCAGCCAAAACCGACCTACGTCCATGGATGAGAAGTTAGGAAGCACGGACACGCCAAAATGGGCGAAGAATCTGTGTCCGACACGTGTCAGACACCGACACTCGTCGGACACGCCCCGGCACGTGTCAAACACACCATAAAACATGTCTGGAATTTTTTATTTCGAACACAACACAGATGCTCCGCGGCACACGTCCGACACGCCAGGGGTGTGTGTCCAACACGCGTGTCTTATTTTTAGAGGTCTACAAAATAATTTTTTTAAAAAAATTGGGTTAAAGTATAAATATGTGAAGTTATTAAACAACTTTTACTCATTTATGTGGTCAGTACATAATAATTTTAAACTTGTAAGGTTAATATGCAATTTTAGACAAAACAAATAGATATTTAACGGCCAGTCATTACACTATTACAGTAGATGAGTTATGATTTGTGTATTTTTTTCATTATGAGATTGATGAAAAATAGTAACACTCAGTAATTTTTAAAGTACTACATCATATATATATACTATTTGCCGTGTCCCTGCTGTGTCCGTGTCCTAATTTTTTTTAATTTGCCGTGTCGCCTTGTCCGTGTCGTGTCGTATCCGTGTCCATGCTTCTTAGATGAAAAGAGATTCCACTATGATTCGTAGAGTTACTACAACAATAGAGTACCAACACCACCACTTCACGAGTCTATTTCCTCGCTACCAGCGTCACCGGTGTTTTTCCTACCCTACCAACCCGCATACTACCTGATCAACTCCCTCGTGAGACTACATCTCTCTCAATCTCATAAGCCTATGTGTCTATTTATAGAGTTCCGAACCCAATTCCTGGTTGGACAAGAATTACAATTTCTTAGAGGCCAAGACTTGCCAAACAGAATACAATTCTAAAATAGAAACATAATTAGAATAGGAATTTGAGAGACAAATTCCAACAATAACGATGCCCTCACATGTCACCTCCATGCACACTAAGTAAAAGAATGCAACCTCCTTGCTCACTAAGCAAAAGAATGCAACTTGCAACCTCCTTGCTTTTATGGTCTGGGAATGCTGACCAGAGGGTTCATCCTTTACTTAGCTGGGAGAAGGTTACACTGCCATAGGGGGAAGGTGGGCTAAGGATAAGGTGTCTTCAGAGCACCACTCAGGCAAGCAAGTGTATGTTACTTTGGGATTTTCTGCACCTTAAAGAAGCTTTATGGGTAAGGTGGTTCAGGGACGAGTATGTGAGGTTTCAATTTTGGAATTTGATGGGTAAAGTCTCTGATTCTGCAATTTGGAGGGACATCTTGTCAGTAAGGAGAAATTACTTCAGAAGTTAGTTTACAAGATTAATAATGGTCAAACATCCGGTCTTTTTTTTTACCCGTGGGATGATAGACTATCTCCACAACAGAGGTTTGGTCTAAATACCTCTTGCTGCTGGTTTTAACCTTAATGCCACTGTAAGTGTACTGCAACAGCAATCCAGGTGGAATGTTCCACCTTCCTGGCCTTCAGAGATTGCTCATTTTCTAAATAGCTTCACTAATTATACAGTGGATGATGAGGTTGGATGGGCCGATGGTCAATTCACTTTCAAAGCTGCATGGAACTATTGTAGACATCAGAGTACTGAAGCTCCATGGTTTTCATTGCTTTGGAATGGTAGTAGACCCAGAGTTTCAATTTTTGCTGTGTTGGTGATGCAACAAGCAAACAAATCCCTGGTGCACCTCCAGAGCCGGACTAACATTAACAGCAATATGTCACAACTGTTATAAAGATGAGGACTCGAACAGTCATTTATTCTGGCCATGCCCTTTTGCTAAGGAGGTGTGGCAGTGGTTTTATGATATTTGTAAGTGGAAGAAGCTTCTTCTCATGTCTTCTTTTGAGGATGCCAATCATGCCATTCACTGGTTTATTCTGCAATCATCCCACTCATGAGGAATAAGATTTTGATGTGTTTTTTCACCGCTATCCAATGGAGTGTTTGGAATCAGATGAACAAGGTGTTACATGATGGTCAGCCTTCCACTGCTGCTGAAGTAGCAAAGGAAGCCTGTCTTGAAAGCTTAAGTTCTCTGAATACTTATCAAATAAAAAAGCTTAAGTTCTCTGAATATGACCATAGTGGATTTGCAAGCTATTTTCTGATGTATTTTCTTGCTTTTTGGCCTATGTCTGGTTGTTTCAGCGTATACCCTAAACCAGTATGTGTTTTTTTCTGTTTTCCTTGTGATCTTTCCCAATGATCACTTATCCTATTGTACTTTTATTGTTCATCTGTATTAATAATATCTCTACCATTCAGGAAAAAAATGCAACTTGCACCTTTTTGTTTACCCATATATATTACTATATATTAAATCATGGATGTCCTGCATCATTCTCATACTTCAAATAGATACACAGTCAAAAAAAACATGACCAAACCAAAAGTTATTATCATCGTCATCCTTGCCTTTATCCAGTACCAACGGAGTCGGCCACATGGATTCCCTTTTTCCAATCTTTTCTATCATAATCCATTTCTCCTATTAGATTTAATTTTTAAAAATCATTTTTTATCACTTCATCCAATGTTAGTTTTAGTTGACCTCTTTGTCTTTTACCTTCTATGCAAATCAATCTTCCTCTACTCACTGGCACATCCATAGGTCAGGGTTGAATATGACCATATCACCTAAGTCTCCTGTCTTTTATTTTCTCGCTAACAGGCCGTACAACTGACTTCTTCCTAATCCTTTGATTATTAATCGTATATTAATCAATCGTGACATTCGCAAAAAGTTATTATCAGTCAAGAAAAGTGAATTTACCACACAGTAAGGTATGCGTATATAACAGCCCTCACAAAGTGGCAATAGCGAATGAAAATAATATTAGTTGCCTCTTATACTTTGTTTTCATGTTTCCGTGTTATGAGATGGAAATACCTTTACGAACTTTTGGATTGTGATGAGATGTTTGCTGAAGGAGCTCTCTCAAAGTCAGACCTTTCCTGCTCACCGCTAAACCTGTTTTCTCAGATGCTACACTCTGCTCGGGAAGAATAATTGCTGCTCATACACATATAATAACACTCTCATCAACAATGTTGGTTGAGTAAAAAAATCAAACCACACCTCATAACAATGCAAAAGCCATTTTAATCTCAGGAAGTATAACAAAAAACCAAAAGGGAGGGGAGGGGTGCAAGGGGAGGTTTTGTTTTACCTTTCTTGTATGCTCATTCTTATAGAACCATGCTAAGAACAAGGGTCAGGGTCCACTTGTTTTTACAAAATATACAATTTGAGATATTTATAACAACGCTCCAATTCTATTTGGAGAACAGCAAACAACGAACTTTTTCGCAGTAACAAATTTTTCCATGAACAAGCATTGAATTGGAGAGACATTTTACCTTTGGATTTGATTTCAGTGTTTGTAGCATTCTTTGGCGGGGGCAATTTCCTACCAATCTTTCTTTTTATTTTCTGAAAAAAAAAAAAAATTGGAATAAGAAGATCGACAAATATCTTAGCCATGTAAGTATCAAAACTGCAATTTCACACAGATGCATTTAAACATAGAAATTACTTTGAAGTCTATTCCTCGCTTTTGCTGCTTCTTTGACAGAGCCTTGGACCGCACCATTTTCACACTGCAGTGAAAGACAATAAATATAAACAATTGTATTTGTTCCTGAAAAAAATAATAATTTCAATGCTCTATTTGGTTTCAGAGAAACAGGAAGAGAAAGTAAAGAAAACAAATCCAGGGAAAAAAATGTAACGAAAACAAAAGATAGTTGAGATCATCTATTTTCCGTTTATTTAGTTGTCAACAAAACCCAATTTTACTCATCTGCGTCTCTTCCAAACATCCCGCTCAGTTGAAATTTTATTCCTTTTCCGCAGTAAGGAGAAGGTTTAAGGATAAAAAATATTTTACTGTTTCTTTCCCTTACACTTTCTCGGCAACCAAACAATATGAATACAAAACAAATAAACGTTATGATTATGCGAAGATGAATGTGAATTAAACTCACCTGGAACGAACCTTAGATGAGCTTACGCGAAGAAGAGAGCTTGTGATGGCAACAATGAAAACCCAGACCTTCGGAAAAAACAAAAAACAATGAAAAACCAGACCAGACCGTCCGAAAAAACAAAAAACAATGAAAACCCAGGAAGGTTTTTAGGGTTTAAGGGAGGGATCCACTCCGCTACGTTTGAGGTTCCAAACTTCCAATCCGTCCCGCTGCTCAATCGAACGGTAGACAGCGCGCCACGTAGGGGTGAGCGGATCTCAAAATTTTTTAGAGAAATAGCACGAAACGATGGCGTTTACTCTTTACAACCTGACCATCTCTCTCTCTCCCAACTGAACCGGCGTTGAGCCAGTTTTAAATTCCCTCCCCTGCTGGACCGGATCTTGAACTTGGGTCTCTACCTCAAGGTTAATTGGTTCAAATCATTTAGGTTGCTGACTTTCAAGTTTCAATATTTAACATGAAAATACAATAGTAGGCCCATGATTTTCAACATTGGGCTTAGGTTTCGTTGATTTATACGCCCAATTAAATATGGTAATAGAAAGTCCGGCTCGTGAAACCCATTTTCTGCGTGCCAAGGCACTCTGCGCGGAAATATGGGCCCGTTTTGCAGGTCTTAAAAAATAAATTTTTTTTTTTTTTTTGGCCCTTTCTTTTAACCTTTATAAATATATCAACCTATACCACCATCCCACCTGACATTCAACTCATCTTTATTCTCTACTTCTTCAATTTACAAATTATTTATTAAAAAATAAAAAATATTAGTATTTATAGAGAATAAAAACACACCATTGTGGCACCTTCATAGCCAAAAATTGAAGAATCCAAAACGCAGATATAATTCTTAAAAAAAATTGACATGACAATTTTGGAGAGCTAAAATTTAGAGTCCATTGGAGATGCCATGAATATCAAATAGGAAAAAATGAAAGAAAATATGAAGCCCCAAAACTAGATTGCATACCTCCAGTCGTGAAATCAGTGTTGTTAATACTTGCAAAACAAAGTGAGAAATCCTCAAGATGTTTACACCTCTGCAAGTCTTTATGCATGTGCTTGGTATAGACAACACAAAGGAACTGTATGAACATATGAAGGAGGAAGTATCATACAATCTTTCTTTTTATTCTAATTTAAAATGGTAGCTATTAAACCATCGTAACTTTCCAAAAAACCACACGTCTGTAACTCCTCAAAACTGCAAGGTTATGTCAGATTTAGTGGATTAGAATATTAATTTAGTGTGGCAATTTGTGTCAAACACGTGTCTAACAAAAAATAGATTTTAGTTACTAATTTTAAACAAATTTATTATAAAGCGATAAAGTGACCTTATATTAAAAATTATTCTTTAAGTTTCCCTTGGTTGTGACAATTTCACTTCACACTTATCTCTTTCTCACACACTTCTTGAACACCCACAGCCTCGTCGCCGACAATTCCTCTAGCAAGTTTGTTGGTAATTTAGGGAATAGTTCTGTTATTCGTGTCAACCATATTTGTTAAAAGAGCCTACTCTCATCATCATTATACAGTATTGACTTCGGAAACTTCTTTCTCTACTTCCTTGTGAAACAAAGTCAGAAAGAGGAGTTTCGAATTCGATCAACCAAACCCCCTCCTTCAAAACCCCTTACTCATATTCATTTTTTGTTTTTGTAGTTACTGCAATTGAATTGGTGATATTTTTGTGTGTGCACACTTAAATTGGGGTTCGTACATGATACCAGGCACAGACCCAGCATAGGACCAGGCGGGGCCGATGTTGGATTTTTTATATTTTTATTTTATACCTCAATTTTTTTAGAATTTATGAATACACCCCCACTAAAATTATAATTCGCACCCACTGGATTCTTTCTTTCCATTTTATACTTCAAATTTCTGAGAATTTATAAAGATACCCCCACTAAAATTATAATTCGCCCCCATTGATTTTATTTTATTTTTCATTTTATACTTTAAATTTTTAAAAATTTATGAAGAAAACTCCATTGAAATTACAACAATGGACCCACTATATAATTTGCCCCTACAAATTAAAAGGTTGCCACCCTCACAAAAATTTTTGGGTCCGTCACCGCATGATGCACATATAGGTGTTTCTCAACGATTGGCTCTTGGTTTATAAATTAATATTGAAGTTAATCTGCAGGTAACAAACCAAGCTGCCAACCTAGTAGTCATATGACAATGAGGAGTGTGGAAGTGTAAGTGTAATCTAGGAAATAAATTTCAAAAGTCACTTCTCTACCATCTGCAACTAGGTTTTAAATTTGGCGATTATACATCTTTTCCTTACTTTATGATCATTTCAGAGTAATTTTATTTATAATTGGTCACTCAAATCTAATATTTAGGTTGCTTTCTTGAAACAGGCTACATGGTGGTGGCGGTGGTGTGTTTTTTTCCTTCAAACATGTAAATGAGCAAAAATTTATTTTCAAAAGTTTTGAAATGGGATAGTGAGATATATGAGTGGTGACAGCCTTACCCTAAAGTCATTGTTTCTATTTAAATATTTTTGGCCTAATTATTTTTGGATCAATTTCTTTACCCATTTTCTAGTGAAACGTGTGACGCTTGACCATTTACTTAAAAGTTTAAGCTCTTACGTAGTGCTACATACCCAGCCATTTATACCGTCCATTTCACTTTCCATCTGGATCCGATGTGGAACAAGTCTCTCCTTGTAACATTCTCCGCCACTCTACCTACCCGGGTGGCACACCTGAAAGCCTTTCGGGCCGGACGTTTGACGTAACACCAGTTTAAGGACTGAGTCTGGCTCTGATATCAATTGAAACAGGTGAACGCTTACCTATTGATCCAAAAACTTTGAATAATGCTATATATCTATCCATTTATACCTATTTCATTTTTCATCTGAATTCGATGTGAAATAAATCACCCTTTGGCCACTTCAATTCTTCAATCACAATATGGCTTAACCATGTGATAACCATGTGGTTGGACTAAATAGTAAATAGTGTTGACCCTTCAACAAGAAGACTAGAAATTTAGAGTGGTTAAAAGAAAAGCCAGATAGATATCTGAACCAACTGTTCGGTTCAAGCGTGCAACATTTAGACATCAATAAAGATAGAAAATGATGTAGATCCAAAAAAAACAACTTCGTTATTGAATCACATTATAAAGTTTTTCTTATAGTGGTTGACTCTCTCAGGTTCTAAGGTTTGTCTTTGAGCGTTTAATTTGCAGAAATATTGTTATGACAATCACCAAAAAAAAAAAAAAAAAAAAAAAAAAAAACCAACCTATTGTTGTGAGTTATGAGTTCGGTTGTATATTACTGTTATATTTTAGCTACCAAAAAATAAAATAAAAATGAAAGTATATATAATTGAATACTGTAATAAAACTAGTCATTTTACGAAGCAATGATTAAGGATTGATTTTATTATTATTTACAAAGTACCTATTCCTAAAGCTATATGGGGAGTATGATTAATGGAAGCAGTTTTGTGATGGAGACAAAAAGGAGTTGGGTTGGGGAGAGGGCAATGAATGGTGGGTGTCCTTATAAATAAATAAATAGAGGTACTCACTACTCTCTAACTAACCACCTCAACTACTCTCTTTTACATACTTACATGACAGCTACTTAGATGTGGCTGGCTTTATGAAACTCCCAAGGGTTTAGCTACATCCAACCAAAACCGAGTTGAGTACGTGGATATGATGTCATATGACCTTTCTTCTTCTTCTTTTTTCTTTTTCTTTTTTTTTTTCTTTTTTTTTTTAAAAAAAAAAAATTCTGAAAAACTCATGAGTACTCATGGATTATTTGAAGTACGTGGATGGATCCTCTTCTAATTATTAAATTAAGGCAATCTCTACAAATCACACATGTATATAAATAAGGTGTAAAGTGTAAACCAGTCATTTTCCTAGTCTACTACCTCTTTCTGATTATCAAACTCTTAGAAGAATAGCTTCAAAATCACATTTTAATTATATATATGGCATCTACTTGTCATTTATCTAAAACCTTTAACTATTATTACTTCATGTGCTAGGGATGGGAGAGTATCCACATAACACACAACTCTTCCAACTCACATGATGCAATGAAACTTTATATGTGTGACATATATATATATATATATATATATATATATATTTAATTGGATATGGTTCAAGTCCTTTCATGTGCAATAAGTAAGTACTTTCATGTGCATATTGTGTTTTTTCCCTATGTGAACTAAAAAGGTTTAATTGAGTGGAGGAGGTATGCTTATAACTAACACCCGTGGTATATTATATTGTAAGCATGGAGCACCAAGTACCGAGCTTTGCTTTTCAAGGAATAAAAGACCAACTAAGAGGAAAAAAAAAGCATTAATCATAATTATATTGATTTTGTTAGTAACATTTCTTCTTTAGTGGAATCCTATGGTGGAAGTAATTAGTTAATAAATTTACATAAAATTTAGGGTTCATGCGCAGTGCAGGTGCATGTTGATATCAAATAAGTTGTTGTGAGGATTCTAAAAAACAACCATTAACACTATAAAAACAAAAAATAACCATTAATTTGGTATTATTAAGTTGGATAAATTAAATTATTTAAAAGTTTTACCAGAATATTGTTTCAAATAGGAAGACTATTAAGAGGCACAAGAGTTTCAAGTTATTGAAATACTTTATGAATAGAAGTATGAAGTCGTAAGTTTCATTACCAAAAATGGGAGGATATTAAAAAGAAACAACCAAGAGAGCCAAACAAATTGTACGGATCGATCACTTGTTTAATTCATTCACAGAAGTCACATAATGCAAGTGGCCATGCTGGGAGTGGATTCACCCCAAATCATTGAGTCCCCGAATTCAGTTTTTCAAGTAAAAAAACAGTGCTGTAAAAAAAAAGTAAGAAAAACTGAATGAATTACTTTGGTGATAATACATTAGGCATTGTTTAGGTTTCTCCACTCAAACAAATGTTTAGAATTTGGTCCAAATCGGATACGATCATCAAAGACTAAATTCAATTCCAAAGAGAATTGAAAAGGACAGAAGAAAATTATGAATTGCCCACTTGCATGAGCTAGTAGTATTCAAGTGGGAAACAACTCAGCTCTGAAATTCCTCTTTGATTTATTTTCCTGATATGGATGGATGGTGGTCATCGATCCCTCATTTGATAAAATTATATTCTTACTTACCAAAAAAGTGAGCTTCTTAACCTATTAATTATTGTAACATTGCTTATGTGAATATAATCAGTAGGACTAGCTCTTGACTATGTAATATATTCTTGTACTGGCATGGTGGCTACCGTACGTACCATCACTCATGTATAGTACTCTGCTTCTCTGGGATTATGCTTAATGTAACCCATTCATAGTTTTCGTGTGCATGCTTAATTAGCAAAACACCCAATTAAAAGTTTTATTAATCTAATACTAACACAAAATGATTTTTAAAGCTTCATTAGACTTTTCCATTCTCAAATTCACGAAACTTGAGTTTCAGCCCACACTCGTAGAAACATTTTCAACACTACTCCCCTGTTTGGCCTATTCAAAGCTTATAATACTTTTCGGTTTCCTTACTTTGTTACAATAATTTGAACTTGTTTTAAAAGAGAAAATGCTCTCTGTTTTTTTTTTTTTTTTTTTTTTTTACCCAAAATCCCTCAATTTTCCTGAAAATTCAATATTAATAAGCACCTCTATACTTTTTTACATCATGAAGCTTCTTTATGCAAAGTCAAACACACACACACACAGTATAAACTACTCTTCTTTTGTTTAGTTTGGTTGTGATTGTATTTGGCTTCTTGCCCTGTTTTCCCTTGGTTGCTTCTTCTGCCTCCTGACCCCCTTTTATTCTTGTATTAATTCTTTCTTGCTTCTTTGTAGACTTGCCCTTTACCAATAAATAAAATAAATACTTGTTAATTGTTTCTTTTATTTTTCTATATTCCTTCTCCTTTTTCTATTTAGGGGTCCAATATTTTGTGCTTCAAATGATAACAACTTATTTTATAATCTGTTGGATCTCCTATATATATATATATATATATATATTATCATTTGAGATGCACATTAACTATAAACCTTAATTAATGTACCAAAGAAAGGTATAAGCTAAGCATCACCATTGCTTATTAAAAAAAAGAGCACTAGAGCTTTCTCTTTTTTTTTGGTTCAGTACATATCAAAGAACAACATTTCATAGAATTAAGGAAATGTTACTAGAAATAAACACATAGAATTAGGAAACCATTTCCTAATATAATTACTTCCCCTCTGAAACTTCTTACACTAGTTAAGAGTGGAGATTAAAGCTAGCTAACTAGGCACCACATTTAACTCAAAACTACCAAGTATATACAAAGTTACAGGTTACATGTTAGAAGCTATTAATATTTACACTTCCTCTGCCTTGTTGTTTCTTCCATCTTTAGTGCTTGAGAAATCACCCTCTTCGGGTGACACTGTGATAACCACATGGTCACCATCACCGTCGCTGAAAGGTTTAATGGTTCCACGATGAAGTAGTAACTGTGGCTTCTCCGGTGACACTATCGATTCCACACTATTGAAGTGTGCTAGATTGGATAGCTCATGAATGGACTCTGAAATTTTTTCAACACATTCAGTGATATCCATTAGTATTGAAGCAACTGTGACAGCTGGTATGATTTCTAAAACATCTTCTTTCTGTGTTACTGAGGCAGCTTCAAGGACACTCTTGAGTTCATCCACTGCTATTTTGGAGTTTTGTACATGAACATTTGCAGAGGATGGATTTTTCATCTTTTTTATGGCTGATGCTAGTTCTTTCAAAGCCTTGCCGGATTCTGAGCTCATCTTTGTACACGGTTCTCGAATTTTTTGTCGAAATTCTAATGGTGCCTGCAAAGGTAATATAAGTACTCAGTGGGCTGCAGGAACAAAAATGTTATATATATATATATATATTGGTCAGATTAATTTTAGTGTAAAAATTAGGAAGAAGCCAGCTAAAAAGTTTATATTCCCAACATTAGAGTACAAACTTAAGAATGCTTTCTTAAATACTAGGGGTATTTTGGAATTATTCCTGATAGTCAGTTGAAGGTGGTGATATGCTTTACTTTTAGTTTTAGGGACAACTTGTCAAAACTTGCATAATACATGATTTTTTTTTTTTTTTTTTTTTTTTTCAATTAACCCAAAATACTACTACTTCCAAATTGAACCAGCTCCCTTGGTTTATCTAGTGATAGAACTGATTTCAATGGCACAAAAGCATTTGAGGAAACTGATAGTATAAATTTTTGGATACCTACTGGAAATGTATAACACTCATATATAATACTGTCTCCAGCAAGGTTCGAAAACTCAACCTCTCATTTGGGAAGAAAAATCATACCATAGGGCTAATGCCCATTGGCTACTAAAATTTTGATCTGTTTTTCTAGTTACGTATTTGTTCTTGTTTCTATATATATATATATATTATATATATATATATATCATTTAATTTTATTCTTTTATGCCTAGCCCTTATGTTCACTATTAGTATTAGGATGTAGAAAGAGTTTTGATGTAGTACTTGGACATGAGAGTTTATGTAGCCACTAAGAGCTTCAATTTTGCAGGCACATTGCCGAGAGAGTAGTCCAATCTTCAAGTATTGTTTCCATGGGTGACGGAATTTGAAACGACCATGACAAGGTTCCCACCATGCAAAATTTGCCTGCAAATTTGGTTTGAATTAAATCAAATATGAAATGGACCAAACATGACATATATGGTAGCAAATTAACATGAAAAGAAACCAATGAAGGCATAGAGTTTGTATGCAGTCTTACCAAGGATTCTTCAGTGGCTTTAGAATTGAGGACAGTTTTATAGTCTTGCATAAATTTCTTGTCATCCTTAGACACCACATGAGCACTATCTCCTGCATCCTCATCAGAAAGCTTAAAATATTCATCTCCAAAACCTGTAAAGCACCCAATATTGTTCTTAATTGATTAGTAAGGTTTGAACCTCATACGTATAAATTAAGGGAATTATATATGCAATAGTGGGCACATCCTTTTGCTGTTCAATTATATATATATATATATGGGCGTTAATTATTAAGTTTAGTGAACACTCGTACCTTGTAAGAAGATTCCAAGCTTTTCTAGATTGAGAGCAACGAGCTTGTGAAGATCCTCACCAGCCCAAACAGGACAAATGAATATGGAGATGATGATACAGATTGCACCACCCATCACAATGGTTGATAATCGTTGGTGGGCAAGTTCTACGATTTTCTCAAGTCTATAACCCGACACAGCTACCAAACTGAACGTTAATATGAATATCATCACCCCATAATCATACCTCGCCTTGATATGTGGAACAAACCTTGTAAACGTAGATATTGCAGCTGCAAAACATTATAATATATATAAACTCGATCATTTGAATAAGTTAAAATTCAACCTTTCTATATATATATATATATATATATATATATACATACTATATTATATCTATACCTAGTAGGAAAACTGAAAACCCAAGAAGAATGGGCTCTCCTTTGTCTCCAAAGAGTCTGGCTAAGTGTTCAACTCCGACCCCTAAAGCACCAGCTACCAATGTTGCAAAACCTCTATTGATACCTTTGGATAGGGTTGCACCTGAGAAAAAAAAAAAAAAGGAGGGATATTTGAATTAATTTACACATTTTTTTAATGAAAATTCGAATTGATTGTAGTATTTAAGTAAGTGATGGATCATATATATACATAAACAAACTTACCAACAGTGAATTCGAAAATAACCACCACAGTTAAGACAGCCCACATTCCTGCTACTCCAAACCCATCATATATAGGCCTAAAATAGTAGAACATGGAGACTAATGTGAGAGCTAGTCCCACTTTTAGGGAATGAACAATTTTCCTTGGATCATCTTGTCCGATATCCTTTGTTTTCTTGGCAACATCTATCACCTTGTCCTTCAACTTTCCGGGGAAGGCCTTAATCCGACCACTCCAGCGAGTACCGGTTGTGGCGGACTCATTGATTTCCATGGCTTAATTAAGAAATGAATGAATGAAGCTAGGGACGGGAACTGGAAAAGAAGGGTATAGCCAAGAGATTTAAGGAGGCTAGCTAGCTAGCTAAAGATCATATGTACGTATACACCTTTTAGAGGGTGTGGTCTTCAATCAATCTTCTAAGTAGCTAGGTAGAAAGAACTGAAAGAGAGTAATGCATTTGAGGGGAGCTCGGCGGCCAATATTTATAGGTGCGACTTAGGAATATTATAGTGATAATTAGTTTTGTTTTATGAGAGGACAAAGATTTTCTAGCTTTTGACTACGACAAGAAAAAGAGTTTGCAAGGTGGGTGACCGGGCTTTTACTTGGGATCTGAACAAAATATATATATTTAATAACAAAACAGGCATCCCACCATTTAAAGCACATATTAGCTAGGGCACTTTGTGCATTTCATCAAGGACAATTCCCCATTAACCCCTTTGTGCTCTGACACCATTGAACCAAATTCTACAACCCATTATGCTGCTCATACCTTGCTTGCTGTATTCCACTGCGCATGCATATGTCTAAGGGCTGCCTACTTCGAAAATTAATGGTTTCAACTTGCCCTTCCTGCACTCTTTTTAACCATCATTCTGCTTCTTTCCTTTTTCTGTTCTTTCTACTACTTATTAATTTACAAAATTAGTTGGAGGTGGTGGTGGACAAATCAAACTAGCACAAGTTCTATTGAATGATGGAACAACCCCTTGTACTCATTAATCTTGTGCTTTCAACCCTTATCACACTCCACGTCTCTTATCATTCCACTATTCATACTACTTAACTATTATTATTATGTGTAAATAATTTTTTAAGAGTCACACTTACGAATATAATTCAAACTTTACTCAATTCGTGTAAGAAAGCACCTTGCACGAGTTTTATAGATTTATCGATGCAAAGCTCCAAACATCCTAGTTATCAAAAAAAAACTAGTTCTTATATTTTTATTCATGTGGTACAGATTGGTTTGCTAGCTTGTTCATCAATAAATTACATTGTTATGAACCTATAAGTTTAATTAATGAAACTGTAGTTTTGTATCGAAATTTCACTGAACTGACTTGGAAATTTATGTACTAGCTAATAAGCAAAAACAACATGATGGTAAATATGCAAGAAATTGACAACATATAATTCGTACATTATTAATACGGTAAATATGAGTCACCACTAAACTGTGGCACTAGATCAGATTGGTCATGGTGACAACTGGGTGAGCATGAAAAGGCAGGAATTAAAGAAATAAAGATAAGGAAAAGATGAGTCATAATGATTCTTACATGTTATAAATGGACCGTTGTCAAGAATCCACCTTTTCCTAATTATTATTATTATGTTTTGTACTCAGATTTGATTAATTATGAAGTAGTGATACAAAAAACAACCGCAAATTCAACCCACAACACCCATCTGAAGATTGTTAAATCAAATGTTTTATCTTACTACCTATTCTTTAATTCTAAATTCTTTGTTAACTAAATCGTCTATTCAAATTACACGATTGAATAAATTTTATCGCGCACTCCCATTTTATTGTTACATATATATATATATATATATATATAGCACATTGATCCAACTTACTATTTATAAATAATTTATGCATTACATGCACTATGTATAGTCAGCCATCACAAAGAAACTAGGATCTGACGTACACCATCATACTGTTATTTCATTTATATTATTTCCCTTGATTGAAAATGGCAAACCAAATTTGACATTGGGAATCTTTGTAATGCGCGCATATAAATTATATGGTTTTTATTTTTTAACAATTTAGTTTATATATGACATTCTATTTTATAGTCACATTGATCCAAATTATAAATTATTGGGAATCTTTGTAATGCACATGATTTATACATGCACTCTTTGTACACGGTCATATATACACACACACATATATATATATATTTGTAAATATGGTATTTGATTGTTGCATTCTCTACTTTGTCTAGAACACTAGGTACTACATTATCCATTGAATTTAGACCTTTCACAGAAATGGAAACAATCTTTTACTTCACACGTTGATCACCACTCATATTTTTGTCAAAAATAGGCCAAAATCTGTGCTACTTAATTGCTTGGATATGGATGACTGTGTGTGACATGGAGGAGCTCTTCTTGAGAGGGAAACAGCAAAGCCTCAACTATTTTGTACAGTATATATATTGGTGTATCTCTCTTACTTGCATATGACTCTCTTTTTAAGTACAACCACTTAATGTACATGTGTCAACAAAAAATGTAATGTACATAAAATGGACCCCTTATTGTACTTTTGGGCTTCTTTTTTAATGTGTGTTTTTTTCATAAAAAAAAAATTAAAAAAAAAAATGCCAAATTATTAGTGATATTTGTAAAACTATATGAGCACTTGAACTGTCAAGGTTGAATAAATGATACCTCTAGGTTTTGGGCCACAGAACCAAATTTGAATGTTTTATTTTGTTGGAGGCCCATGGATTTTCCCCATGCACATTGTACAATATTTTTTTACATCTTTATGAACCGTTTCAATTGTTGGTCCAGGGGAACCATATATATATAAATTCAAATCACAAATAATAGGCAATCACGTAAGATTTAAAATTTGTACACTGTATTTTCCTACATTAATCTTTTATAATCACCTGAAATTAAACTTTCGAAAATTTTAATTTTTTTAAAAAAATATAGGAATCAATTTAAAAAACGACCCAAAAATAGTTGAAATTAAAGTTCAATACACTAGGCCAACAAGTAACAAAACAAACACAATTATGAGTATAAAGTGCAAATAAATAAATAGAGACTTAAAAAGAGAGATTGGGTGGATTAGGTCAATAAAAATTGTGGAGGCACAATTATATAGTAAGGTATTCAATTCTAAATTTTAAATTAGTTCAACTAAACAGTAAAATAATTATTATCATTCCATTATGATTATTATTATTCCATTCCTACACATTTCATATTTATAACTAAACAATAGAATGAGAATGATCATTCCATTCCATTCCCATTCTCATTCTATTCTTACTTGCATTCTATTTCATTCTATTCCTGCATACTAAACACAACATAAGTGTTTTTAAGAGCCTTCTTTTAAGCAAAGTAGAACTAATTTGTCACGAAAAATGTCAGCATCAACGAAGAATAGTACAACATAAGGACTACCATTTGAATGCAGAACAAGCATCAACAAATCTCGATCTCCATCCATCTTTATATATCATTTTTAAAGATTGGATGAAAAATATTATTCCAATGCACTTTTTCAATTCTCTATCATTTAAAATTATATATATTTATATATATATATATATATATATATATATATATATTACCTTAAAAAAGAAAAAAGAAAAAAGAAAAAGGTAATCCCAACTTATGTTATCCAATCTAATCGTGTGTAGTGACATAACTTGAGATTCTGTTTTTTATGTCATCCAAAATTCTCAAAAACAGAAAGTTAAGCCCCCACCATATAAACCTGGGTTTAGGTGGGTTTGTTAAAATCCTAATTCTTTTTGTTTAACTATAAATATGTTTGATTAGGAAGATCTTTTTGTTTATAATTTGATTAAGACATCCCTAATTAATTGTTTCAACAAAGTTTAATATATTGTGTCACCAAGTAACGACATTGTTTTTGTACTTGCTTTGGCCTAAAAAGGAACTCCTAAGACCACATGTGTGTCTCTGTATAACCTATGAGAAAATGGAACAGCTGTAGTGCAGTTTTATACCGTGTATCAATCAAATTCTAATATAATGGAAATGATAGCAACACTTTGTACATCATCCAAAACTAGTTTGATGAACATATATATATATATATATATATATATATATATATATATATATATATATACACACGTTTCCACTTGAGAAACTTTAGTTGCCTGCAGATGATTAGTCTATAAAATTTTGTCAATTAAGAAAAGACATGCACGAGAGGAAGAGCTAGCTAGCGTATCTCCTTTTTCTATGTTTTTTTTGGAAGTACCTACAGAAACTCTTCATCTTAATCCAAATGCACAAAAAATAATGGTTTGAAAGTAATTTAATAGAGTAAGCGAGTTTAGAGTTAGGTAAGAGTGGTGGTACACCTTGCAAACATGTAATAGGTGCTTAATTGTTAAACTTAGTTTATGTTTAAAATGTAAGAGATTAGAGGCTACATGGAAACTTTCAACTGCTAATTGTGTAGACTTACCCAAAAACCTTTTGAAATTATTATTGTGTAGAGTACTTTGATCAATCTACGTCCTGAACGGTTTTTTCATTTGACCACTTATTTTAACTTTGAACATGTATGATATATATCTAAAGTGCCAAGATAGTGAGTGACATTGATATATGCTAATAAGATGTGGCTTTTATGGTGGTGGGTGATAAGATGATGTTTTATATTTACTTGTTTTATTCGTTGACCGTAAGAATAAGGTTAAGCATTCAACATTGAATTTTGATGGGACATCTAAATAATTGGAAAGGAGGGAATATACCCTCCTTCTTCTTCTTCTTCTTCTTCTTTTTTCTGGGCGGATTAAGGTTAAGCATTCAACGATGCATTCCTTAACTAGATGCAAATCCCCAATTCTAGCCCTTGCTTTCTGGTTCCTCCATCCAACAATAGTTAGATGGTAAGAAATTGGAATATGGAAAAAATGAGAAGGAAAAGACATGGCATATATGAGAGGAGGTAGCTCTTATTTTAGTATACCATATATAGAAAAAAGGAAAAAAAGAAAGAGCAATACAGCATGACTGCGGAGTTTACCTGTAGCTACACATCCGAAGGGCACGTGATTGCGAGGGTTCCACGTCATCAAAATATATATATATATATATATATATATATATATATATAGCATGACCACCTTTCATAGAGACCCCAATCCATAAGAGCCAGGTTCTTTAAAAGGCACCAAACAAGGACCGGTTTTGGATAGATAATTGGAGCCCAAATGCTTACGTGGTTGCTCAAC